TCACGTGTTCACGTGATATGTGGCTGAAGGGATGTGGCTGAAAGGATCCCCTGGTGGGATGAAGTCCCTCTCCTCCCGAAGATCGGATGGGCAGGAGCCTGGACGCTGGTATGTGTTAGACAAGAGGTAGACAAATTGGGCAGCGGACCGACGCGATCGGCGCTCGAGCGTCCTATATTAGCGCTGAATTTCGTGTTGCTTCAGAATTGTATACGCATACTCCTACTGAATCCTACATATATATCCTCTTCGCACACACCATATTGAGCCCCCAAAAACATTCATATTTATCAACAGACCCTAGAAATTACACTACAACACATAGATCATTGACACTATCATCACAAGCACTAGTCCATCTCATCCAAAAAGGAGCGCTCGTAAATGTATTCGCGACGTTGCTGATTTTGGTCATCGTGGTACCTGGAGTACCTGCTGCGCTCTCCAGATCCCGCATGTCCTTGTATGGCCCGGACAAGAAGATCCACCAACTCCCTATAAAGTATGATCAGATGTATCCCTTGGTGCCAGACGCTACGAAATTACCGTTTCGCCTGGTCATGGAGTTCCATTTCCACATCATCGCGACCCAGTAGATGGGCTTCACTTCAAAAGTTTGAATAGGATCAGCATATGACGTCAACAAAAGTGCCAGGCGCAAACATACCGACGCCCTAGGTTGTCATTAATAGTCTTAACATTATTGGAAACTTGAGCAGCGGTTTGAGAAACATCAGCAGCGGTTTTGAGATCGTGCATTGTAAATTTATGCTTGTGAAATTTGTCCACACCCTTCATCGCGAGTTTTCTATAACAATAGTTCACGTCGAAAATCCAAAGAACAGTGCGATCAGACTTACTTCGCGATGCCAGGCACTGCAGCAACGAAGGTTGGAGCTGCAACAACCATGGCAACAGCAACGACGACAGAATAGCGCATTATTGTGATGTTCGTGTGGTTGTGAAATTTTTCTGGTCGTGACGAAAATGAAAGCAATCGAGTCGAACAAAACAAGTCAAGCTGGACGCGCGGGATCACAGTTAGCTTGTTCTCGACTGACTACAAATGCGCAAGTGCTTACTATCCAGTACTCGATCTTGGAAATTGCAATGGTCAACAGATCAACTGAGGGCTGGGAGTTGCTTCACGACGAGTGCGCATTCTTATAAGCATCCCGGACCTTGATGCCGGGTACAGCTCCATACGCAACGGGTACGGTCCCGGTTTCGGCAATCAGCCTCAGGGCGAATACGTTATAACTTAATGTGTCGCAAGTCGACGCATTGATAAGAGAGCTCGGCCGCGGTGTACCGGCCTGAGGTCAGCTTAATAGTATATTTGTTTGAAGTATGAAACCTGGCAGTACGATCTCAGAGGAATGAATTTGGAATGTTACCTACTATTATCTGCGTAGAAAGTCAATGTAGTTGGCTCACTTTACGGGTCATTTCTGGACGTGGAAGTCCAGTCTACGCCGGAATGACAAGATCTCCGAGCCGCGCACGCAATGATTGCCATCCCGCCAACCAGTGTTATTCCCACTGCCACCAGGGCTCCACGCCTGAGGATGCCGGGTCCAGAATGCGACAAACTACGCGAGTGTCTGTTCTCAAAGAATCACCGCTCTTAGCAAGCTGTTGTGCAACATCTAGCACCGTTCGGCCGGCAGTCTACGTGGAATAGAGTGACACTGTAAGTATAGCACCATCGTCCATCACTATTAGACATCCGAAGATGGTGACTGCGAGCTCACATTGGAAAGCTCATAAGTACGCCGTGGTTGAATATGGACACTGCAATGCCGTAGCCGATCGTTATAGGAATCTGCGTCTGTATGACTCGAAGATACTACATAAGCACTGATATGACAATCAGAAGACGATGTCGGGACAAAGCGTGCGCAGCCAGCGGCGAACACTAGGTATCATGCTCTTCTGCTACTAGCTCGTACACTCCCCCACTTTCTTTTCTATCAATGGCAAATAGTAAGCCAGTTATGAGGTGGCGAATTGATGCTCAGTGCCGCTGTCTCAAATTACAACATTACATGCGTATAAAACTCATGAACTATAAACGCTTGCCGCTAATTTTACACGAGACTCTATGGACATCGGAGAAGGAAAAGACAGGAAGAGTGCTTCGTTGTGTATGTGCACACTCCAATTTGCATGGCGTGGCACCTGTTATAGAGCTCATACATTTTATAACCCTGGCCACAGTTTGCGCATGACTCGGATGTAGATGAACTATACGATCAAGCGCAATCGGGGAAGGTGAATGTGGTGACGCTGTGCCAATAGCATCACCGGAGCATTACTCTGTGAAGTGGCTTGGATGATGCCTGGGCGGACTGAAGGTAAAACAGCGGTGTCAGGACACTGTGTCCGCAGTTACTGATCTGAGGTAGGAGTATCTCAGCGTCGATCGCGGGGAGACAGCAATACAACAACTCAGCTGAGAGTATTCTCCCCGCACCTCTTCTCGCACACATTACTGTATAGCCATGAACCAGTCGTGAAAGGTCGGGGCCCGACGCAAGTGCAGGAGCACCGGTATGACGCGCACCACGTCTATATGAAACCCGTGAGTCCCTCAGGCGGGATAATATTCCAGGGTGGCAGCACCCGGAACCGCTGAGGATATACCTATGCTCATCTGTGCTCTCCTAATACGGCAACTAAATTTTCCGCGTATGTACAGAAAATCTTTGTTGCATCTCGCTGACGGGAGTCTTACGAGGACCAAATGGCATTGGACCTCTCATTCCAGCAGGCCGTCAACAAGCGCAGCGTGATTATGGCCAAGCTATTCAGGCATTCAAACTGCTCTTGAAGGCTGGCTTTCTGTGACGAATTATGTGTAGCCTTGCATGCGTTTGAAGTACGTAGGTGGAACCAACCGATGGCACTACTTCATAGCTCCAGGACGTACGACCTCAACTATGATTGATCATTTATTGGATGCAATCAAAGCCGACACAGCTTGCACAGTAGAATCGAGCTGAACAGCTTTGGATGATGAGTCTGGAGCCCACTTGTGGGATAGTATCTACTTAGGAGTTCTCCGAGCGAAGATGTTGAGCAAAGACTCACAATCTGCAACGCTCTTCCTCATCACACAATCTATTTTGTCTATCTCTGATCGTATGAGTTCAAGCTGTCGACTCGTCGCGCACTGTAATAATATACCAATAGCTTCATGACCATACAAAAATTGAGTTCTCTTTCTTGATTACTCTTCAGCCCCTCAGTTGATTTGCTCGAGGCAAGCCTCTCAGGTGTAGATGCTAGATAGTGAGTACTGTGAATCCCGATATTGCTCGCAGGTCTATCTGATGTTGACCTCTGGCTTGACTTGTTTCGTTTTTTGCAGCTTATTTTTTATGACGACCTTCTTTCGCTGATCCTACTCTTCACGACTCCATTTTAATTACCACCTCACAACATCCATGGTGCATGCTACTACCGTTTTTGCTACTGCTGCTGCAGTAGCTGCCCCCGTTTTTGTCAGGTGTGTATCTTCACAGCGATTTTTCTTCTCGGATTGCATATTCATTCTCGCCCATAGCACCGCTCCACGGTTGCGCCAGAGCTGGCTGCTCGCGCTGAGAATGAGCGCGGGCAAGATCTAGAGGAGGATCGCATTGAAGGTCACCGTGAGCAATTCCATGGTCATCACCACTCCGAAGACTTCTACCACGGGGAGGAGCACTATGGGTGCCTTGAGCACTTCCAACATGAAGGGGACCACCATCATCACGACCACGGACTCACGCACCGTGAGGATCAAGTACTCAGCGACCACAAGGGCTTTCACCACCATCACAAAGAGGAAGAGGGAAGTCTCTGTTATGAGGGTCGACGCACCACTACTCCTACAACGACAACGACAACGACAACGACAAGGAAGGCTACTGCCACCACGAAGGCAGGCACTACCACGAGGAGGAGAAGGCCACCACCGCCGTGAGAGCAAGCACCACCACCACCACCACCACCACCACCACCACCACCACGAGGAGGAAGAAGGTCGTCGCTACTACGATGAGGAACACCGCCACCACGAGGGCGAGCTCTTCCAAGACTCGGGCAACTCCCTACATCACACCAATGCGCCGGCTCATGAGCGCACGGTGTTCCATTACGCCTCTCCTACGAACTGCTACACTACGAGTCTGGGCTGTTGGAAGCCATCTACGGGATGAACGACGATACGCACGGTACAACACGTGTAGTCCTGCATTTAGTGTCGATTAATGTTGACTGTTGCAGCTCGTATGTCTAGGTCGCGTCGCCTGATTGATCGTAGGCCCGCTGAGACTATACGAGGTCGATTGCTTCCCAGCGGATGCCCCGGTAGAGCGGTGCTCCTGATCTGGGTATTCCCTCAGTGAGGGTCGATTATTGTTCCCCGTGCGCTGCATTTCTATAAATCAGGTTGGATTCTGGAAAGACTGGTTTCCTGCGGGTACTGTATTTGCCTATTAGTTGGGTTGGAACGACTGCTGTGTCAACCTGGGTACTCAAGCTCTCAGTGCAAATACTGCGTCGCGTAGAGCTGTGGGAAGTCGTGGGAAGTCATACTGAGTCGCACGAAGTCGCACCGTAGTCAGAGCAAAGTTAAATTGTGACCGTTAGATCTGAAAAATGAGGTAATAGGACGCATAAGTATGACTGAGAGGTTTGAGGGTGATGGACATGGGCGTTTATTATCAGGTGTCTGCAATCGTCCGGTCCCGCTGACTGCTGAGTTGTGGCACTGATCTCGAGTCGATCATTTCGCTCCACCACCACACCTTTCCACCTAACCGGTCTCTCCCTCCTTTAGAAACCTTGTCCGTTGCAGCTAAATATGTACATCTACACCATCCATCCCGCATATGTGCATTTTACGAATCTATCAGGGACTGGACCGCCGCGAAGCCTCTAGAGTGACGTAGACCGTAAGATCGCAATAGGCAGATTTAGCCGAGCAATCATGGGGTGGATTTCTCTCGCCGGTCGACCGGCGCAGAGATAATATTCAGCGTTTATGAGCTCACCTGACCAGGGCACTTGCAAGCGGTGAGAATGTCTCTCATTGGCACGCATGCAATCCTGACGATCTCGCAGCATCTCACAATTGAACCGCACTACTGCGTCCCTATTCCAAATGCCTATCATCCAGGGGGGGAAGAAGCAAGCAGCGGAACCATCTCGCTCCTGCAAATTTTGATGTTCTTCAGATGATTGCACCTGTTTGACTTTGGGCTCCACTACGAGCGTAGAATTTGGCGCCTTCGAGCTAAGGAACTGCTGACCTGTCCTGATCTCCATCATCGCCGAATCAGCGAAATATGCGCGGTCCGCCAGGGAGACGCATCCGGACCGCAGGCTCAAGTATTCACCCCCCCGCACTCATGCACTCATCAATCACCCCCGTTTGTGGAGAAGGAACTCACAAGCGCGCATAATAAAGCCATAGCACCGCGCGGGGGCGAAGGTCGGATTCGTTCGCTCGACCCTCCTCCTCCCATCGTGACGACCTGTATACGTGTGCCGCAACGAAACCTGTATGGCTGTACCGTCGAATAGTAGGGCGATCCTGCTCGCTATCTTCATCGCCTTCGGTGCGCCTCATCCCGTCTGTCGCGCTCGAATGAATCCATTCATATCTATTCCTCTGATTAGGTGGTTTCCTCTTCGGCTATGACATCGGCGTTATCTCAGTATGTGCTGTCCACCCGCCATTTGTTCCCACTTCACTGACCCTTGACTGTCTAGGGATGTCTGATCATGCCCGATTTCGTGGACCGCTTCGGGCAGGAGAATCCAGATGGCACGTTTACCTTATTCAGTTCGCGCCAGTCCATCATCACATCCCTCCTCTCCGCCGGGTATATGCGTCCTCGTCGTGTGCGTGCTGACCAGAGCTAACTCCTACCCTCGCAGGACAATCGTAGGGGCCATCGCGCAGGCATTCACCTCCGACCGTTTTGGGCGTCGTGGCTCGATCCTCATCTGGTCCGCCATTTTCACAGCCGGGACTGTCATCCAGACAGGCACAGTCCATTCGCTCGCGCAGCTCGTTGTCGGGCGGTTCGTTGCTGGCCTCGGTGTCGGCGCGCTTTCTGCAATCGTGCCGCTGTACAACGGCGAGACCGCCCCGAAGGCACTGCGTGGCATGCTCATCGTGCTATACCAGGTGCAAATCATCATGGGCATCTTCCTCAGCTACGTTATCGACCTCGGGACGCACTCGATCAGCGGCCCTGCATCGTGGCGCATCCCGGTCGGACTGCAAATGGCGTGGGGCGTCATTTTGCTCTCGGGGATATTCTTCCTTCCTGAATCGCCGTAAGTGTACAGTCTGATCAGGTGCTGAATAAGTTCTGATCTATTCTTTGCGCTAGGCGCCACTTGCTCGGCACAGGGAGAGAAGATGAAGCCCGTGCTGTCATTGCGGAGCTCAACAGCGTACCGGAGAACGATCCAGCTGTAGTGCAGATCATGGAAGAACTCGAGTTCGGTATTCACGCCGAGAACGACGGTGGTCAAGCTACCTGGATGGAATGCTTCTCGACGCGCAACATGCTCTGGAAACGAACGATCAATGGAATGATGCTGCAATTCATACAGCAGCTTAACGGACAGAACTTTTACTGTAAGCACTGCTGAGTCCCACAAAAATCGAGAATATTTACAAGCTGTTCGAATTTCCAGACTACTACGGCGACACTTTCTTCAAGAGTGCGGGAACTACACTCTCGCCGTACGTCATTCAGACCATCTTGGGCGCTGTCTCGGTTGCTGGCACCCTCCCCGCGCTGTATTTGATTGACACTTGGGGTCGTCGACGAGTAGGCTAACACTTGTTGTCATATCTGTACTCTTACTTACACCGTTGCCACCACCAGTCGCTCATGACCGGTGCACTGTTTGAGGCGATGTGCGCACTCATCGCAGGTCTTGTCGGCCACTTCCTTCTTGCACCGTCGGGTACGCCACAGGCCGACCTCACTCCGACGAACAAGAAGGGTGGCGACGTTCTGATTGCGTTTGCGGTCATGCATGTATTCGCGTACTCGATCTTCTGGGGCCCGACACCATGGGTGTACCTGGGCGAGTCGTTCCCCCTGCGCGTGCGTCCGAAAGGTATCGCGCTGGGCAGTGCTACGAGTGAGTTTATTTCCTATCGTACTGTCGTCATGAATGCCGATTTGGTTTATCAGACTGGGTATGGAACTTCCTACTGTCGTTCTTCTCGCCACGCATCGCGGACGACATCGGGCCGCTGATCTTGCTCATTTTTGCGGGGATGCTTGTGTTCGGGTTCTGCTATGTCTACCTGTTCATTCCCGAGACTAAAGGCCTCTCGCTTGAGGAGGTCGATGAGATGTACCGCGCAAAGGTCCTTCCGTGGAACTCGAATGGCTGGCGCCCGAGTGAGAAGCATATGCACGAGAAAGTCGACACTCAGATGGCGGATGTACGCGAGGAGAAGACAAAGGGTGATGACGAGGCATGAGCGTGGTAGACTTCATATATGATCTTTTGCGAACCGATAATGAGCTTTCCATACACTTTGTATACCAGTACAATGTAATTGTAGACTACTAGTATTCTCTACCACCACACGACAGCGTATGAAAATCTAACTGGCTGCGCTGGAATATATACTCCAACGGCTAAGCGTCCGTGCCCCTGGCGTATGTAGCGCGATATGCGTAATGTTGGACATACACATATTGTCTATTCATAGATGAGTGTATGTCAATCATGACGCAAGTTGATAAAAACAGCCAGAACTTACGCGGTGACAAGGTCGGTGGAGCAGGTTTGCCGTTGCCGAGCTGAGTAGGGCGCATATAGCAGATAACGCGAAGGACCATCGACGGCGGTCCTCATGCCTTGTCGTCCGCTGTGTCCTCCTGCCCTTCGATCACCCTCTGCTTTAGGACTGCGCCAACATGCCCTTCCTGCACTACCCTTTCGCCCTGCTGCACGATAGCTGTCCCCTGATCCACTGTGATAGTCTCTAGCTGGGCTCCAGGCTCCAACGTGCCGATGAGATTGTCCAAGTTGCCGATGATCTCGTCGAGCCGGCTCTCTACACCGGTCGCAATCCCGTCCGCCGTCTCAAGGCGTCGCAGGAGTTCTGCAACATTGGCTTCGGCATCCTCGGGCCCATTCTGAGACAGGATAGACTGAAGAAGAGCAATTTCGGATTGCAAAGTACGCTGCTGGTCTGATGGTCGCGCACCATTTGCTGGATTCGTTGTTCCGTTCATCGTGAACGTCGCTTGCCAGGCTCTGAGCGAGCTCTATCCATGTGACAGGTCGGTGACGCGTGTGATTTTCGCGACACGCATGTTATGTGACCCTTGGCTATGACGACGATTTGCGGGGCGCAAGTCTCAACTTTCTGAGGATACCTCAAACCATGCTCAGCTGTCGACCTCCTCGCCGCAAGTATCTTGCACGCCCCCACCGTCTTCCTCATCAATCTGAGTGCACCTGAAGATTCATAGGACAGAATGCGCAACGACAGAATCAAACATATGATGACCGTGTTCAACATTCGTCTCTCGCGATTCGGCGGGTTTCTCAAGTTCACTTGCCAAGTCATCTGGACGGTCATTCTCATCTTCGCCTCCTATATCTTCCGCCGTCCACTCTCTGGTCACGCACTCACCATCGGACGTATATCTCCTAGCACCCTCACGTTGCATGACGTGCGATACTCAGGTGCGCTCTACGACCACACGTATACATATACATTCACGTCGCCATCGATTTCTGCCGCGTTTCATCTCCCAAATCAGATTTATCCCCGCTGGTTCACCTTCACCTCGAAGTCGATCTTGTATACTTCGATGACGGCCGACATATCTGTGTCCAAACTTGACGTCACATTTTGGGTCTTCCCTTACCTATTCAAACGCACAGCAGGGCCATGGCTCAATGTAATACTCGATGATTTCGTAATTCGGGTGCACAAAAGTTCGGCGACGCCGTACTGGATTCAGAGACTGCGTCAAAATCTGGTGGCCGCCATTCTAACTGGGGAGATCTTTCGTCTTGATCATGGCTCGGCTAGGGTTCAATTAGCGGGAATTTCGGAGAAAGTGGATATCGGCGAACTCAAGAAGTGTCGATCTGCAAACCAGCCCACCTCTTCTGACTATTCGAACGACGGGTCTGACGCGGACGATGGTGACGACGACACCCACGTTTCCAGCAAATCTGGATCATCAAATTGGGACGATAGAGAGCGAGAGACAGATTTTGGGAACGGCCACGCGAAGGGAGAGCCATGCGTTAAGATGCCACCGCGACGACCGCCGCCATTCGAGGACATGCACACGGACGAGTTGCGAGTGTCAGCAGTCGCGCAGCAGTTGCATTTATACAATGCACAGGGGCGTGTGTACACCTTCCAGCGTGTAGACGCGCAGCTGCGACGAGACTGGGACACAGACCGAGGCAGTTTTGTCATGATCGCGGAGGACGGGCGCTGGGAGCGTGTTCCTTGGCCATACCAGAGAGAATTTACTCCGTGGTGGACGTAAGTCATCCCCATGAATCTGCTCACCATCATCAACTGACGATGCCCAGGCAATTTTTCACCTCTATGGCTCAGTTTCCACTGGATCTTTGGCACACGCTCTGTTTTCCGATGTCCGCCGTAAATTTATACGTCCCGCGGGCGGATATTATGTTCGACGAGTTTAGGGTGCGCGTGTCTGTTGTCATTTGGAGGTTATATGTAGCTGATCGCCTTGTTTTGTAGATACGGGATGCAGCACTACTTGTGCAATCATTCACAATTTTGCGCGAAAAGTCGATTCGTCACGGAATCAACTGGGGTGATTTATTTTTGGACGCTGCACTGCAGATATTTGTGTCTCCCTGATTTTGAAGTGGCCCGGGATGTTATGACACTATAAGCGGATAATTATTATAGTCTGTAGTGCTGATTGGAATAGTTCGTTTGAGGGCCCCACAAATTACAGGTTGTCTGCGAATACAGTACTAATATATACAAGAGCAACAGTGCAGATGGAGGTAGTTTGAAAGGAATGATGACATATTGCGCGATGCACAAGATCAATGGGAGTGTCTGCAGCCTGTTTTTCTATACATAACATAGACAGACATTAAAAAGCCAGCCCAGCCTGAAGTGAAGGAAGTCCCAATCAGCGCACCATCCCCGCGAAGAAGCCACACACTACATACTTCAAATATGTCCCCGCCAACTTCATCCGTCTCGTCTTCCGACTTATTTGACAGCCTGCTTTTGCTACCCGCATCCGCCATGCCGACCGTCTCTTGCCAGGTTAGTGACGACAGAACGGCCTGTTGGTCAACCGAATTCCGTGGCGACATCTCAGCCGGCACGAGCAGATGCGACACCCACTCTCCGCCGGGCCAAGACATCGTCAGCGGGGTCATGCCCACAAGGGAGTCCCTTTCGGGCACGCCAAAGTCAGCGATCAAGCCTGAAGGATGGTCGAGTTCCGTGTTAACGTGCTGGGGACACCAATACGCCGTGTCGTCAGCAGAGAAGATCGTGCTCTCACTTATTCTGGAGCTCAGAGACGCGGATTCAGCCGGGGGCGGTGAAGCGGGTGGCGAGACGATGGGAGGAGGGAGTCCTGCAGGACAGTCCTTGTGTTCGAGCCCCTCATCCTGAAAGTGCTGAGTGCGGCTGCGATGGCGACGGCGTTGGTAAATAAGGAGGCCAACAAGCAGGAGGAAGGCAAGAGCACCGAAGACACCGCCTAAAATCCGAGGCAGCCTTGATGAACCGCCAGTGCGGGAGCCTGGGACGTGAGTAGACGGGCTGCAATCGATTCGGAGAGTATGTCAACTTTAGTCGTAAAGAACTAGATTCACTTACCTGGGCAATACAGATGACGCGGACGATACGGACGAGCTTTCGGAGCCGGCTTCGCCAGCTGCGGAAATGAAGCTAGAACTCGTCTCTGTCGATAACGAGGTAGTAGGTGTAATATTATTAGATGTGAGGGATCTAGGGGAGTCCGGCATGACCGACGTGTCGGTCATGTTAAGGACAAGCGACGTCGGGGGGGTAGTTACGACTATGGAGGAGGTGAGGGGTTCCGAGGTATTTGTCCTGTACCGTTTATAAGGGTACTGGTCTAAGAAAGAGCTATAGAGAGACGTACAGAGAAGGAACGGTCGTCGAAAGTGGCGGGTAAGAGGTCAGAGTCATCGGATTGGGCGAAAGCGAGGTAGCAGTAATCGTATTCATGCTACTGATGCTATCAGACGCACTGAGATAATCCTGACTGACTGGCAGAGGAGTTGCGATGATAGAGCTCGGTAGAAATACGCTAATACGTTGGTATGTGGGATTAAAAGTGGAAGAAACATTAGACGTAGGGTGTGGGGGTTTCGACAGGGGGGAGCTCGAGATTTGAAACCGAGAGTTGGTTATTGGGGGAACAGGTGTCGGTTTACTTGAGTCTAGTGTCGATGAGCTGAGCGTATTGCCGGAAGTCAAACTGAGTGGACGCGAGGGCGTTGGTATCACTGAGTTTGAGGGACACAGCTGCGAGGGTTCGCACATGATGGAAGACAGTGGAGGTGTCTATGAAGATAGTCTGGAAGCTGCAACCAAGGATGATTCTGAGACTGGACAGCTCGAACGGTCTAATCAGTGGGAACTGTAGAGACTTCGACGTGCCCTTGCTCCTGGAAAAAGCTGTTTCAAGGCAAGGCCATACAATGAACCAAAATTCATTCACATTCTTGAACACACTGACCTGCTCAGTTTGCTCCAGGTTGCCACATGGAGAGCAGTGCAGAAAGGGAATGCCACGAAAGAGGGGCATGATCCTAATGAAAGGCTGCATCCCCCAAAGAATCTGCACTTTGAACAACAATATCTGATAGATCAGACAGCCAAGAGCGAGGCTATTCGGAGCTGAGCTGATTGAATCATCCATCGACCCACCACAACTTTACGAACTCGACAGCTAGACGCATAGGACCCCCTGGATGTTGAGGAAACGTGTGAAGTGTGCGCTGCGTTCGACTCTGAAGCGTTTGTATGACGGTCAATGATTGCCAGTGGGCGACGTCGACTCTACCTCTACTACGATGACTCCATTGACTGACCAGCCACCATATACTAATGGATGAGCACCATGTTTCAGTTAGACATCGTAGCTGATTATATGAAATATGAAGTTGGATTCGAGCAAATTTGTGGCGGAAGACTACATAGAATGCGACTGCGGCCGGATCCAGGCCTCCGCGGCGACCGATCAAGCGCTCACAAAAACGTCATTCGGGCAATATCAGCTACATAGCAGCAACTCTTACTTACACAACAGCATATAGATCATATAATTTGAAGCGGGTAAACTAGGGGCTAGTCCGCGATCGCCGCATAATGCTAGCGTGTTAGCCTTACCAGGTATATGCAACACAAGAAACGACGGGAACTGTGTAAGGAAGATGGTATGAAAAGAGCGTGGAAGAGATCGAAGCAATAATAACGCGCGACATCAAGTCCACAGCATCAAAATGCCCCTGAACACCGGTCAGCAGCCTAGATATCACTATCATCCGAGTGTCTTCTGTATTACTCTCAGGATCCGGCCCCAGCCTGAGAAAAGGCAGTGCTTGATTCAGCATACCACTCGTGAGTAACAATCTTCCGACATACCTCCAAATTACTATCTCCAGCATCGCTCATCCCGGTCTCCTGAATTACAGATAGTATAGTTCTACCGTTCCTCACCGGAATACTAGACCTCTCGTATGGGCTCGGTAGGAGCGATTGAGCCGACATGCGCGACACCGACTGTCCTCCGGGCCAAGCAATCGTCAGTGCAAGCGCATTTGCAGCAAGAGACTTGCCCTCGTCCATCCCCTCTTCCGCTGTGAGGAATCCACTATCGCTCGCGCTTGTCGTGGAGCCAGGCGAGCTCGAAAGCGGGCGGCGCATCAAGTCGGGCGGAGAAGCAAAGAAGACCGTGGACATCGTCGAATCGGGGCGCTGTGTGTGATCAAACCAGCTGTCGTGGAATTGCTGCGTGCGGTGACGACGGCGATAGCGCTGCAATAACAAGAGGCCGATAAGTAGGAAGACGATGCCTAGAGCACCAAAAACGCCAGCGAGAATCTTCGGCGTGTTTGGTTGACTGCCGAGAAATCGGAAGAAACGTTAAATGTAGCTCGAACATCACATACAGGAGCTTTTACCTATGAGACACAGACTCTTCTGAGCTGATACCAGCACTCGACGAGGAGGGGATGCTAGCGTCTGTCCATATGGTTGATTCGACAACACTCCCGATTATGTAAGACTCCAGGGATGTAAAAGTCCCAGACGCATCGGTAGCCACAATGGTAGAAACCTGTGTTCGAGTTAAGGTGACAGAGGCCACAACCGGACTGTTCGAGGCAGTGTTGTCGCTTGTGGAACTCGCAGTGGTTTGTGAACTATGAAGTACAAAAGAACCGCGATTAGGAGCGACCTGCGGGGGACGATGGACGAACGTACGTAGACAGTGAAATCGCGTTGGATGAAGGAGCTAGATAACTAGATATGATAGGTGCTGCGTCATTTGAAGTAGTTACCATGGATGTGCTGGCTTCTCCTTGGGTTACAGTATTGGGTTCAGATTCAGAGGACTCCGTGTACTGCGAAGTGGTATGCACTGTACCCAGCGACTGAGGTGGGACCCTTGGAAACGTAGGAGGGCCTGTTGAACTTGTTGTGGGAGAATTGGTGCTAATGGAAAATGGTGGAACATAGACCGAAGGTATGCTTGGCAATAAAGGTGGTAGGGCCGATAACCACAGTGAATACGAGGGAAAGGTTGCATAATTCGACAGCACGGACGGGCCACCAGGAAGCCCCATCATAGTTAAGTCGAGTAGGTGAAAACAAAAGAGTGTGCTGCTGGAACCAATGTCTGCGAGGAACTTGAAATGATGTGTCTGGAATAATTTTTATAGGGGCAAAATTACAGAATATTCATTGGACTGATTTGCAGCAATCAAGTGAGGGTGTTTCGCGTAGTTTGTACTGACCTGGGTCCTTGCGGCATGCGACGTATTGAGTGACTACTGAGAGCAGTCTGAGCCGGATTGAACGCTCACAATGAGGGGCAGAGAAGAAACAGACACAAGAGGCCTCGACGAGGGTAGGTCATGAAAAATCGCAACTTCCCTGTGGCGCTGGGTAGACAGAACGTTAACAATCTATGATTCATGATAATCAAACGTAGGCAGATGGCACCTGGGTTGCGAGTTGATTCAACCATTCACAGACATGCTCATGTAAGAATGAGGCAGCTCGTTTCACATGCAGCCACTACGGAACGAGAGCGTACCAAGACTTCTGTCATCGGCATTTATGCGCGCACAAGGGTTCCGTGTGCTGGGCCAGAGTGCCCTCGCACGCCGTGTGCATCGACTAACAGGAATATTGTCTGGAGTGGGATCATTCAATTGAAATGAACAGATATCATGATGGTGGTCGTGTGGCCACAATTATACATCTACAACATCCGTCAATCATGGAGACGCAGATGGAAGATATCGCTACCCACGATAGGCCTCCTCGCGAAGCCCTGGCTCATAGAACGGTGACTGAGAGTTGCAACCCGCGCCATGAACGACAGCATCCGCCTTGCGCTGGACTATAAAATGGCCGCGCAAGAACACACCTCGATCATCCACTTTCAAATTTGGAAATTACGCACGATACGGGCGCTCTGGAACACCGGCTACTACTCGAGCTCCCTTGCAACTGGGCCCAAATTAAACAATTCGACGACTCATGTCACGCAAGCTTCAAGGATTCACAAACCTAACCACACAAAAGCTTGATTATAAACTTTACGAGTCGAGTTGACGTCTTCACGTTGCACAGCAAGGACAGCGACATGTACTAACATAGCCTCAGATTGAGCAATGTCGCATGTGCGCTATCGAGACGCAATGCAAGGAAGCGTGTGGATACAAGGACAATATCAACAAAAGTCTTCTGCAAAAGAGCGACACTGTCCATTATGATACAACGTACAATGTACGAGAAATTAAGCAGGTCCACCGCCAAGATGAGTACACGACTAAGCCCCTACAGCGCCAATCCAGTGATCCCAGTCTATAAAGAATCGCCATCCATATCAGCGTGATACGTCCAACACGGGTATTGCCGACTAACCTCGCATGTTCCAGCGTCCGAAAACGCATATCTACTCTCTCTTTCCATTGGATCCCCTCTGCTCTGCCAGACCGACGGAGGTACGACAGGCCGCCGGTCCGACGAATTCGACTGCGAGTTGAGTAAGGACAGATGCGACTTGGACCGTCCATCAGGCCAGACGACCGACAAGGGCCCATTCCCGGGATACTCCCTGTCCTGCATCGGGAATGCACCGCTATGGTGGTAGTTGACCCGCGAAGCTGAGACCATCGCAGGTGCGTATGCGCCATATCGATGGGACGTGTACATGGACGAGGCCATAGCCTCCTCGGCGGTGAAGAACGCGCTCCTGCTTGTCGTGGATTCAGGCATGCTACCACGTCGGCTGACAAACGTCGGGCTGCGGGAGAGAAAGGAGGCAGTAGAGACAGGATTTCGAGTTTGCGCGAACCAGTCTACGATGCCTTGCCTGCGGCGGCGGCGGCTCCAAAGGTAGAGAAAGACGCCAATAAGTAGGAGGAGGAAAGCAAGGGATCCAAACAGGCCAGCGAGGATCTGAGGAGTTTTCGAAGGACTCTTTGAGGAGCTACAGAAGTTGCGTCGGCACTATCGATTCTGCGTAGCTGAAAAAAGCCCTTACCTGGAAGCCATAGATGAGCTAGAGGTATTGCCGGGGATTGTAGCGGAACTTGTAAGGGATGAAGATAGTGCGGAGGTTACACTAGTTGTAGTAGACGAATAATTGGAGGCAGAAGAGGTGGTCGTGGAACTCGAACTGGAATGGGAGGAATTAGAATTTGAGTATCTACATAGCTCCGCGAGCATACAGTTAGTTGGGACATGTCGTTCAATAGCGATGGACATACGAGTACACTGTCGGAGCGACAGAAATCACCGGTTGTACTGGTATGCTTGCCCCCGTAGTGAAGGTCGAAGAAGTCACGAGTACCCTTAGGGATGTTGGCGACACGACCATTGCGCAGACTATGACACTAAAGTCCCTAAACCTTGTGAGAATGCGACATGTAAAACTTCATAAATTACACCAAAGCAAGCTAGATCGCTCACCGTATGTCTTGTTGGGTGAGAGAACAGCTTCTACGCTACGTGCGTAGAACCATTAAACAACAACACTATTGATCAATACGCGGGGAGGAAGCCGCGGGGATTGCATAGTCGACACGAACCAAGAGACAACAGGTCGTCGTCGTCAGTCCAAGCTCATCAAGATGAGTTTACAGGTACTCACCAGTTGAATACCAGCAAATCCAAGAAACCTCTGGTTCCGGTCGCTCCACAACGCTGGGCGAATGTAATTAGGGTAAAGGGTGAGGTGGAGCGTGTGGAAAGAAAGGTCAAGGTGCAGTTGCACATCATTTAATACGGCCCCCCGTACTGCAGAGGGTCCTAAAGTGAGATGCCGTGCATGAGGTAAACCAAACAGAGAAGGATCAGGAACAAATGAGGTTGAGGCTGTGAGTTGATTGGACCAGCCATCAGCAGCCCATGTCGCTATAAGTTCCCATAGCAGTCGCGGGAAGATGTGATCCTGGCGAGGAGCGTCGAAGTATCGCACACAGAAAACTCACGCTGCGATGCGTACACTAGTAGAATTGAACCGCATAGGCACTAAGCTGAACGCCTGGACCGGAGGCCTCAACTCGAATGTGACAAGGCGGTGGGACAGCTGAGGCAAGGATAGCGACAGACAAGAAGTCCAACAGAAAATGCATCATGCATCATATATCACAGGAAGTACGACGTACGTGAGACTTAGCTCGGCGACACGAATGTCACTTCAGAACTTTGTTTCCAACACGTGACGATGTGTCCATAGCCAGTGTCCCACTGGAATTCGGAGCCAATAGTAAGAGTCCGGTCTGTCAAAGAAAACGCTCGCAAACGAGAGCAGTAGCATAAAGGTGAGCACTTGACAGTGACCTACGTCCTGGTATAGCCGCACGTTGTAAGCAATGTGCCGACACCGAGTACGTAACAATAGCTCGGTAGTCCCAGTCTCAGGCTGCAAAGAGTTGTCATCCCCATCAGCGTGATACACCCCTCGAGCGTCCCAGCGTCCGAAAACGCACATCTGTCCACTATTTTCAGCACATTCAACTTCTTTCTTACTCGAGCGACAGCGACAAGGCTCGCGGGACCAAGCAGCCGACAATCACTGTCTTCCTATGGTTCTCTCTCCCGCATGGAGATGTCTTCATCCAGACGGAAGTGAACCCAATAAGCCTCGGCGTTTCCACGCTCCCCATATCGTCAAGGCGTTCCAGGTTTCAGAGGGAACCATAGCCTCCTCGGTAGTGAACCTCTTCCAGGCTGCTGATCGTAGAATCAGACACGATATTGGGCCTGCCGATAGATACCGTGTTGAACGGTAGAAAAGACGCCGTAGAGACTGGAGCTCGAGTACGCTCAAATCCCGAACCAATCATCAAACCACCGCGTAGGACGGCGACAACGGTAGCGCCAATAAAGCAAAAGGCCAACGAATAGAAAAGGAAACATAATGACACTGAAAAGGTCCGCACGGATCTGGGGAACGTCGAGATGGCTGGGATTGTTGCATGTATCAGATATGAAAAAATAAGCGAGATCCTCGCTTATAACCTGAACTTGCGCGTGCACTTGGGGACTCTGAACTCGTCATACCACTCACAACTGTACCAGAGAAAGTGCTTTTACCTATGGAACGCGGACATGAAGTCATGCTAGAGGTCGCGCTGGGATGGGGGACCTCCGCTCGGGGTTGTTTTTGATGAGATCTAATTTGTCCCTGCGTTTTGCGGTCGTGATGCATGACATAGCACGTTGCGAAGAGCTAGGAGAAAACCTAAACCTAAATTCAAATTCCGGAGGCGAATTCAGGGGCGGTGAAGGCATGGTAATAGAACGACATACCTGGTGCGATTCAATGTGCCCGTAGATGGGCGACGAATAGTTGCCATTGACATATGAAGAAAAACTGCTGATGCAGCTGAATTCGGGTTGGAAGTCGAGGTCTTGATTGAAACAGAAGGAGACAGCTGCAATGAGATAATGCTGTTCGTCGAAGAATCTGTTATAGTCGAACCGCTGTGGTCCATGCCTATTTGGAATCTGAGGGAGAAATTTATAGCAGGGATGCTGTGATTGATCTCTTGAACAGTCGGAATATAGAAAGGAAGTGGGCTCGTCGTGCGACAAATGCATGGTAGAGCATAAGGAGAACAGATAAACAATAAGACTAGAACCACAATGAGTGACAGACCTCCGCGCAAAGTGTCGGGGTGGATATATATACCCCTATTTGATGGTGCGGCAGGCGTGCAGGCAGCCAGGTTTCTCAGAGCGCCACGTAACGCACATGGTGCTCAGCTGCGCAGCTGGCTGACGCGCACCCCAAGAGCAGCAGTTTTACCCAAGACGAGAGACGCAGTCGTCATCGATCGCCGATCATCGGTCCTAGACGAAGGCAGCGTCCGCGTCATGGTCCTTGCATTCGCTATCGTCGTTTGCACAATCGCTCCCAAAAGCAGGCCTCCAGTCGTAGTTTTCCCTACATGACCGCGCAGCGAGCGTGGAGGCAGCACAGGCAGACTTCCACCCCGCTGGATAACCTTTCGCCTTCCAATCACCTCAGGTGCACAACAAAGCCGAGCGACCGGTCGACGCATACCCTCGTCGTTTGCAGTGTGCACAGACAGCCACCACCGCCATCCTCATCGTCCTTATCGCCGTCACTAGGCTAGGGAGCTGTGTCCTTGCGTTCTGGGCTTTGTGACCGCGCCTTACAATGGAACAAGACTGGCGGAGCCCGAACAGCGCTGTGACCCCCTGCCTGCAGCGTGAGCTGCTAGCGCAACATGACCACAGAGCCGGTGGAGCGATCAGCTGAGTTGGCAACTCGATATTAGCTGTACAAATAATAAGACCACAAGCTGACGCACCTGTATTACTCCAAAAGATACCGAAGCCGACGGAGCCATCTCTACAAGTTACGGGCAGCTCAGTTAGTCACAAGAGGGTATTGATAGTGTTGATTATGATTAGTAAGAGACACTACCGCGACAGCTGTCCGATATCAACCCGGGGTAGCTAAATGATATGAATACAGACCGGTCGTTATTTCTTGGTACTACGTGTTTTCTAGTGTAACCTCGTGCTGCGTGCACCTACCCGTCATACCCGTTAGGATTCTTCGTCTGCCAGTTCCACAGGTCCCTGCACATCGTCTCCAGCGTCTGCTGAGCCTTGAACCCGAGTTCTCGCTCCGCAAGAGCAGGGTCCGCGGTGAGATCCGGAACGTCGCCCTTCCTACAGCAACGCGTCAGCAGCGCAAAGTCAGGAAGCACAGCTCGGACACGCACCTCCTACCAATTATCTCGTACTTATAGTCATACGCAGTTGCCTTGCGCATCGCATCGACAATCTGCAGCACGCTCATCCCTTTGCCCTTACCAAGGTTGTACGCCTTGTATCGCCCTTCGCCTGGGCAGTTATCAAACACCTTCGACTGGGGGGCGAGCGCATCAAGGGCAAGCAAATGTCCCTTCGCAAGATCTAGCACATGCAGATAGTCCCGCACACAGGTCCCGTCACTGTGTACGAGTTTTTAGTTGTCATGAACAAGCCGCATGCAGAAGCCACACACGGTGTCGGATAATCATTGCCGAAAACGTTCAGTTTGGGATCCTTGACGCGTCCGATCGCCATGTGCGCCAACAGAGGGAGCAGGTTGCCCGGACGACCTCTCGGATCCTCCCCAATTTGGCCAGAGGGGTGCGCACCAGCAGGACTGCCAACACACGTCAAGCGGCCGCAGTGATTAAAAATGACTACTGTCACTCACTTGAAGTATCGCAAAGAAAGCGCCCGCCAAGTCTTCGGCTCCGCTGTCATCTTCTGGTCAGTAATGCATGCATTAGAAGAATTGGGTCATAAAGCAGACGTTCTATGTTAGCAAATAAGGATAGAAAGAATGTGCAGCGTTTGGGAAGGCAAACAAATCGCCCAGTTCACCGCTCATGATAGTTCTGCTGTAGCGAAGAGCCCACACACAACGGATCCGCAGCATGAGAAAAGGCTCACCATTGCAGAGGTCCTCAATAACGGTTTCACACATGATCTTTGTCTTGCCATAAGGGCTCTGCGCTTCTAACCGCGTCGTTTCTGGGATAGGGATTATTGGGGGTGTACCGTATACAGTCGCGCTGGACGAGTAGACGATGCGAGTGCAGTCGAATTCAGCCATGATCTGGAGAAGAGTGATGGTCGCCCCGACATTATTCGCATAATATGTGAGGGGGATCTCCGTGGACTCCCCAACTGCTTTGTATGCCTGAGCACGATACCTGTGACCATTCAGTCAGACATTTGCTGAAAACTCCACTCACAGCAATGTGGACTACGCCCCAGATCCCGCCCTTGCCATAGCGTTCGAAGACCTTGCGGACCTCCTCCGGCTTCGTCAAGTCAGCTGCAAACGCGTCAATCTCCGCGCTGTCCTTGTCCTGCTCCGACGCATCCGCTGGAAGGTTGCTGCGCGCGAGCTCGGCAACCCGAACGAGGGACTTGGGGGTTGAATTGTGGTGGTTGTCCACCGAAATCACCTTGTAGCGACGCGTGTCTTGCAGGGAGTATATCACATGGGAACCTGACATGCAGACATCATGACGAGGACTGGTCAGGCGCTAGCACACGATGCCGTACCAATGTAACCTGCGCCTCCCGTAACGAGCACGCGCTGTTAGGCCGTGAGCATAAGCTGGGAGAAAGCAAAGACGACGCACTCGAAGAGATTCAGGCATGGTGTATTCGGATATGTGGTAAGGAGTGTAGAGTACAAAGATGCTAAGGGAGGAGCCTCCGAGTCCCTGCAGTGCACACTGGGTTTTATCCGATGGCAAAGATGCGTCCGCCTCTGCTGTGACCGCGTCGAATTCGGACCTGGTCCGGCCCTTCCGGACCGTGTTCGTCCAGTCCGGTCCAGCTCCAGCGACTTGGATCGTCCTGGCTCGGCTCCAGCCCATAGTCTAGGGCATACACCAAACGTGATGCAGCAATAAGAAGATAATAAAGCTGATACAGTCGAGCGAGTACGGCGCAGAATACCCTCCAGAAAGGAGATTGGACTATGTACGCAAGGTGAGTACATATGGCCAGGGTGCGTCATCGTTCCTCCATTTTCACATCGCCCTCCGGATCCTTCGGTTGCGCACTACCGTTCGGACTCTCTTCAAGCCTCGGCGTGACTTTTTCGCTGTTCCCGCCTGGTGCAGCCATTGGACTTGCGCCTCGCTCCTCTCCGGCCCCTGTTGTCCCCGCAACAAGGGTTGTACCATTCCCCGCTCCCGGCTCCTCACTGACCGCGGCCCGCTCTCGCTCCTTCTTCTCCTTCTCGATCTCCTGCGCAAGAAGAGTAACGTCTCCCGTGCCAATCTTGCCAAAATGTTGCAAGTATTGGTCGCGAGCGGTCCGTAAAGCGAGCCACGACCATCGTTGCTTATTCTAGTACATTAGAAGACACGATTAGTACACCACCTTAGGACTGATAGGCAAAACGAAAAGGCGCACCTCCTCATATCCAGAAATAATGTTATCTGGGGGAAGAGTAGGTGCAGCTTCCACCAGTGGTGCCGGTGCTATTATCGGTGTCGAAGCGCGTACAGGGACCTGAGGAACACTATCCAGCGACGTAGAGGTAGGCGGTGCTGTTCCAGGCTTGGCAGGCAAAGACGGGTGTAAGGGAGCTGAGTTTGACGAAGCCATACGAGTTGTTGAAGGCTGCGCGGATGGCTCCTGCGATATTGAAGGTACCGAAACTGCTTCTTTCGACGGCGAAGGTGTTTCTTCTTTCGGTGCTGCAGCCTTGCGTGCCTGCGCAATCCTCTGAGCGGCCTTAATCAATTGGCTTCTCCGCATGTCAATACGCATATCTTCTTGTTTAACCTTTCTCACGAAATCCTTGACGTCCCCAGGCCTGAGAAACTGTAAATCCATATCCTCGCGACGGAAGGTAAGAAGGGGGGACAAAATCGGATACTCAACTGGAACGGATGTTCTAAGTCGCGCAAATCCCGGTAACCCATCTCCCAAATCTCTGTTAGTGGCGCCGAACCCAAGGAATGTGGCCATGGCTCGGGTTCCAGGCGCATCTTCTTCCTCGCCTCCCTCGTTGCCTCCTCAAGACCAACCCTTCTTTTCTGTCCTTCTACTCCTTCAACCTCTTCCGCCCAGGAGTTCTTATCAAAAGGCGAGCACAGCTCATTCTTCCATTTGACCCAATTCTTCTCACGTTCGAGGATGATCTGCACTGTCTCTGCGAATGCACGTCCACTTGGTGCGGTTTGCCGCAATTCCTCGGTTGCTTTCGCGACAATGTCCTGCACCCACTGTGCATCCTCCGCCTCTAGGGTGAAATCTATTTGCAGCGAACGATTCCGTGGAGTCGACCACGTCGCTTTGACGGTCTTTGTGAATGTGAGTAAATGGTTGAGGAGAATGAGTAACTGGAACAAGAACTGTCGTCGAAAATGCGTGTCCGCAATCTAATGAAACAGAAATCCATGAGACACGCCTGTGTTCACATAATCAAGCACGCATACCTCAAGGTCCAGTAGCTCAGGACTAGTGAGATACTTGGCAAAGAAATATTCTTTGCCAGTGTTGTCTTCAGCACCTTCCGAGTCTCGCTTGCGCTTAAGAGATGGCCCTCCTGCATTCCCAACAAGCGATTTGCTACCCATCAACGCACGGTCTTTCGTGGTGGCTTCCTTGATGACAGGAAGAATCTTGTTCACAGCTTCTTTGAATTGAACAAATGTGCCCGGTTCTGAGAATAAGGGGGGACGGGAGAAAGGCAACTGTAAAGACCAGAATGTATCGTAGAAATCTAGCAAACAGGTCAGGATGAGACGACAAGGATACACAAAAACAATACAGACCTGCCTTCTGTTGGTTCTTTTTAGCTTCCCGATTTTCCTGCTCCTCTACCTGTACTCCGTCCACTTCCATCTTGTCCTCCTCACCACCCTCTGCACTCTTCTCTCCGCCTTCTTCCCGAGTCTGCATCTTGATGTCGCCCTCACTGCCCTTTACGCCAGGCCCATCCCAAACAGGCCCATACCCACCTCTCAGATTCACCCCGCTCCGTTCGCCCAGTGGAAATACCCTGCTCAAGAACGTAAGGATCCGTCCGCAGAACATTGTTGTGTTCCCCATCTTGGACAGCCGCCGCAACAGGTCATTGAGCGCACGGAGGAGTATGAGCGCCTTGCCCTTCTGTGGGACCATGTCCACAGTCAAGCGGTCCATACGCTCCTCGATCCAAGAGAATATGTGCGAACATGACGCAATGGTCTGAGTCTCAAGCAGGTCATAGAGCACATGGAAGACGAAGCTCTGGTCGCAGATGCCTAAGTGAAGAATGTGAGGCCAAATTTTGTGAGACCAGGCCAGGAAAGGACGGACCGTGTTCGGTGAAGGTCAATACGAGATCAAGTCTGCTCCTGAGATCGGCATAGTATGTTGTGTTCGGGTTCCTCAGGGCTTGTCCTTCGATAGTCTGCTGCCCTGTCGGAAGGTGGCCACACATGTAAAGGGAAACACACGTACCGAGAACGTAAAAATTTCGTCTTTGAGTACAAACTCCCACTGATTCCTCACTATTTCAGCTGGGAACGAAGTCTGTCCTTGCTTTAACGTCGAAGCGACAACTTCATCGAGCGTTCGCTTGTCAGGTGAGTGCGGCAAAGATTCCAAGACAGACGTCAAAGTAGTCTTGAGTGCCTGCATTACACTGCAGCTGGTATCTCTTCGCACAGGTTACAGCACAGAATACCTTTAACTTGAATCAGAAGCAGGGAACTGGAGAGGAGGACTGGTGGCAACACGAAAGTGGCACGCGCCTACGTATGGTCTCCATTGGCGCCCAATCTAATCAGCCAGCGCTTGGGCGCTCTGCTCCCATTCTGACATTCATAGTTGCTCCTCCACAACGTAAACATAAACATGGTACGTGCTCAACGTTGAAGTTGGATGTGCCGTCGATACTGAAATACACTACGAGCGAAGTCGTCCACGTGGGAAGTCCGTCTCTCAACCTCGCGCGGAGTCCCGTACTTCTACAACACCATCGACGGCCAGTCGATTTGGAAGCCACCGCCCGAGCTCTCGCAGGAGGAGGTGAACGCTCTCCCTGGTGCGAAGGAGTACCTCCTTGGACAGCCTGCCAACGGCCGTCCGGCGCAGGTTCGTGCCAGTCATCTCCTGGTCAAACATCGTGATAGCAGGAGGCCGAGTAGCTGGAAAGAGGTGTGTGACACTGTGCTGCAGTTTGACGACCCAGATGGCTAATAAACTGTATAGCCCAGCATAACGCGCTCGAAGGAGGAGGCTATCACGATCTTGAGGAGCTTCCAGGCGGAAATCAATGGTTCACCGGACAAGTTTGCCCAGTTGGCAGGCAAACATTCGGACTGCTCCTCCCATGCGAACGGAGGAGATCTGGGACCTTTCAAACCAGTACGTATCTATTCTATTATCCCGTTTTCACCATTTAGTGTGTACTAGATATGCTGATATGCTGACAATGCACTTCAGGGCCAGATGCAGAAACCATTCGAGGACGCGACGTATGCGTTGAACGTCGGACAGATCAGCGACGTAGTAAGCACAGACAGCGGCGTTCATCTCATTCTCAGAACAGCATGAGGCTGCAGTGTATTATAGATACAAGGGGATTACAACCATTTGTACTCGATACATAAGACCATGCATCATCACCTTCCAGTGCTATCGTAGGCAATGAGTGCTTATACCCGTACCTGTGCGCAAACGCAAGGATATTATATGAACGTTACTACTATACTGCACCGAGCCAGACACGGTAGGCGCATCGGACGTCCAGACTGACCCTCTAAAATCCAAGCTGTTCTACGAAAGACTGCCAAGTCGCATCCAGAACAGGCGGCCCAGGAGGTACTTGTACTGTCTGTGCCTCTTGTCCATGAGCGAACGGCTGTGGTCCAAACAATTCTTCGAAAATATCTGCTGTAGACGGATCCTGCATTTGTCCCGCTATCCCCGATGGCAGATCAAAATTGAAGGGAGCAAAACCCATGGGGTCACCCACGCCGTCAAACACACGCATATCTTGCATGATGGTGGGGTGGATGAAGTCCATGGAAACGGCAGGCGACGGGGACAGATTCACTGACGGCGAAGAGCCACTGCTAGTGGACGGAGGGACAGTTGGAAGGACGGAAGCAACTTGGGAAGTCTCCACGGCCTGTCGGGCAAGGTCACGAGCACAGGAAGTGGGAGGCTCCTGCGCAGAAGAGATCAAGTGAGTCTTCCCGCCAATGCGGTCCAGCTCGCTGTCGATAACGCATATTGGCTGGGGGGTCTCAGGTGTACTCATCGTCGCATGACCCTGTCGACAAACTCTGCGTATGAAGTCCTGTCCCAAAATCAATAAGGAGAGATAGTGTCTGAATACAGAATGCGCACCAGATTATTGGCAACCAGCGGACTCAAGCTTGCAGCTTGCTCGAACAAATCACAAAGACTGTCTAGCTCCTGCAACGAAGACGAAGCAAGCGGAGATGTTGGCGCGCGCGTGACCAAGAGGCCCATCACGATCTGTCAGTGTCAGAGGTCGCACGTCAGGAATGTGCTAACCCGTCTAAGGCAGAACCATCGCAACCTACCCCGCCTGCTAAACTATGGGACCATATGATTCCCAGCCTGACTGCGACAGCTTTCGCTCGCTTGAATACTTCCTTGGCGCCTTCGATAATCCTCCACGCGGAACGGTAGATTGCCATTACCGATGGGCCATATTTGTGCCTTAGTAAATCCTGAGGTTGCTCAAGCAAAGCTTGAGTGAAGAATGCCCGATGGAGGTTGAGAAGAGCTGTGAGATGTGAGCAGGATGATCGTAATGGTTTAATGATATGCTACCCACTGGCTTCCTTGCATGCCATTGTAAGAAACTGCTGCATAAAAAGGGCTATCGTTGGCTCGGGGTCCTGAGCTTGCGGACACATTGAACGCAGCTGATGTGGGACGGGAAAGTCACGAATCTTCCTGTCGAAATCAATGACGGTGCTGTACGGCGGGGTCTTGGCCCCGAAACAAGAAGTGATGACAGCATGCATTAAGCGCGTATATTGCCATGTCCAATGATGAACTAACGCAGACTCATCTGTCAGTGTTCCATTGTAAATCGGCAGGGAAACGTACATCCCCATTCCTTCTGGCCCTGTTCGTTTATCCTCTCGTCCGGATCTTTCGGCATGGGACAGTCAATGAACGACGTCGCCATACTCGGGGGTCTTCCAAAGCCGAAACTCTAAAGTTTCATGAGGTTTGATTAGAAGTCGATGTCGCTGAGCTCACAATCCAAGTATCTTGCAAGAACAGCTGCCAAAACACACGCCCCCGTTTGTGGCTGGCATCATCGTCCAGTTTCCACCGAGAGCCACTGACATCTGTCAAATGCACTGTGACCTCGGCACCGCACCAAATGAAACCAGTACTTACGCAGCCCGAGCTAAATGCGTAGACCAATGAGTCATATGTTTCGCATGAGTAAAACAGCCCACAAACACTGTGTCCAAGCTGACTGGCTAAACCAACTAATAGCCAGGCCCTATGTGATCCGGTGCGAGCGGGTTCGCAGTCACTCATCTCGAGATATTGCGCCATATATATCTGTACCGTAACATTAGCGGTGTATATGTATGAGTAACAATGTGGCTCACAATGGTCTGCACCGCCGTCAGCGTCGTGTCCTGTATAGGTGGTGCACAGCGCAAACATATACGCGACAATATATAATATTCATGTGCCTCGATTGCGGATGGGGAGCTCTCCATATCGAATAACGTACCAAGAGCGAACACCATGAACATCATAGCCATAGCATGCATCGAGGCCAAGTCACAAGTTCTGTCGCTGGAAAGCTATCAATAAGAGGGATGCCAGAGATCAAATACTAACGGCCAACTAACTAGTCAAACTTGTAGACTGATCCCAATATTTGATCGAACAATTCGACCCGAGAAAGGGGGTACCAACTAAAAGAATGAACTTCTGATCTGCGTTCAAAGACCACAAACAACCACGTACATGAATTGTCCGTACTCCATAAAGATGTCACAGAGACGACAAGCTCGAGAGAGCGACGGCAGCGCGTCGCGGACTTGATTTTGAACTTCGGCGTGGTTGCACGGAACATCCAAATCTATGATCGCCTCCTGGACAAGCTCTGCAGATATATGAGGAAATTGAATTTGAGTACAGGGCACACCCCTTGCCGGGGCCTACGAGCAATATATGAGCTGATCATTGCGGGACTGAATGAAACGCCCGCAACGAAACTTACATGGATCAGATACTATGAATTTTAAATATGATAGGCTTCAAGTTTATATAAATAGGCAATAAGCCATACCTCTGAGCGTGATGTTGGTCCATAGAACTTAGACTCCCCTCTAACGCCGACAGTAAGTGTGCCTACATAACATGGGCATGTCAATTCGTGGGGGCGAGTGTCGTCAGTGCACGCTCACCAAAAACATCAATGAAGTCCTCATCTTCCCGGGGTGCCGAAGACGCGTGGGCGGGAGAGGCACTAGAGCGTTCTGAGGGACTGACCTGCATCCCGTCTTCCTGAGCAAGAAGGGGATGCGGTTCATCGCACACAGATGCTTGGAGAGTTCGTAGAGCATCTTCCAGCGCTGCTGAGCGACTTCGAAGACGGTCTATTTTCTTATGAAGTTCTTCTGCGTCCGCAAGCGCCAGGCTAAACCACAGTTTACCTCTATATGACTTGGCTCAAAACTCGACGTACCGATTCCCTTTTCCAGTGGTCAGGGACCCTGTGGTTGGTGACTTAGCCTGCCGCCCCAAGTGATCTCAGTTATAATAGGAGCGTACCTTCGGGGCATATGGCGGAACAACCTCTCTTGACGCATGTCTCGCACGGAATCTAACGTTTTTGTTAACGAGAGAGCCTGCTAACAAGAGAGCGAGTGTCAGATCACCTTTCGGTCGCACCGAAGTTTCAGTCTTTACACTACTTCAGAACTCTTTCTACACCATGGCTGAATTCGGCGTACCGTCGGCACTCCGCGCAAGAGACGGGGGCACGCCCGGGGCGTCGCTTCTGCTTCGGTTCGCCATTCGTCTTGTCCTTCTCTGCAGATCTGCCTGGTGCCATGAAAATGTGCGTTGTCGCTGTTCAAGAATTGATGAATAAGCAGTCGACCAAAGATGTGTGTGCCATGAGGGCGAAGCGCTCACGGCGTCTTTCTGAGATTGACTTCCCTTTATAGTATAGCCGGTAGGATCGCTGCGGCTACCGGGTCCGTGCAAGTAGTACAGTTTTTCACCCGCTGACGAATCACAGCGGCTGGGCCAACGATTGCCGCCGAGTTATCATACGCATGTCTCGCTACTTTAATCTGCTATGCTCACCTCGTGTATGCAGTATGCTCAGTAATTATGACTTCTTTTCTGTGCTTTGTTTGATGCATCGTCATAGTATTATATACAGTTCGATCGTCTTTGATAGTTCTAACAGTGGTCTAGCCTCTTCTTTGGACAAGTGTAGGCGCACATCGCGCTCACGTGTCGGTGCCGTTTCGCTATAATGTGCGAAGCTTTGCCAAAATCAACCGGTTCAGTGAGTCGTTCTCCTGAACCTTACCATCCAAGGTTTAAGGTCAGCCTGCTATGACCTGCTCAACGCTAAAAACGATTCTGTGCCATCACAATCCGCATGACATGACATGTATAAGATCTCAGTGCTTGAAAGGATAATTAGGTTCGACTTGGTTGTCCAGTTGGAGTGACAGTATCCGTTTCCACTCCCAAGTGAGGCTTTCGATTGACTGTTTAGTCAATATTCAACTGCAGGTACATGCACAACTGACTGATCCGAAAGTTCACTCGCCGGACAATTGGGCCGGACTCGGAGATCGTCGACAACCGTCCCCCGAGCGCTCGTAGAGGCGGCAGACAGCTATCGCTCTTCCCGGAACGCACACAACATCCAGCTCGAGGCAGTATGTATGTAGCATATTGCACTGGTTGGGTCGGGCGCAACTCAGCCTCGTAAAGAATGGATGCGGACTAATCAGAGATGCAGTCGCCATTTTGACGTCTTCACTGCCTGTGGCTGCTGGCAACAATGATCAAGCCCTCATAAGAGACCTCATGACGGACAGCCGAGATCTCGAAGGGCGTTCGTTGACCACTTCCCTGACAACTCTACTGGCTTCTATTCCTGATCCTCCATTATATGGTCCCTTCCAAATCATGACTACTGACTGCCAACATCGGCCCTCGGGGCGGCCGTGCGCCGGGAGTTGTCCGTCAGTTGTATAAAGGTGCCCATCTCCAGCCCATCTTCCGCGAAGCCGTCCTCATTGTCATCACCACCCGCCCTCATTCATGGTTGCTCCCTCCCCCATATCACTTTCTGCTTCCCAACGGTCGGCATCGTCGTTCTCAACCCAGCGTTCCAGCCCTATGGATCTTCAAAGCAGCTTCAATGGTACTATGCTCACTTCACTTACGTCGTCAATGGTAGACGACGCGCGCGATGACGATATCATTCCTCCGGGCCCAAACCCTAGAACACTTATCCTGTGCTTCGACGGGACGGGAGACCAATTCGATACTGATGTGTGTAGTCCATGCAGAGAAGCCACACGTAGTAGATGGTTTATGACCTCTTGCAGAACTCCAACGTCATCCTTCTCAACTCGCTCCTTATGAAGGATCGGCCAACTGAGCAACTAGTCTATTACCAGGTACGTGCGCACGCACGCACGCTCGCAAGACTTCAGCGGTGGCTAACAATTATGATAATATGACGCATAGGCTGGGATTGGCACTTACACTATACCCGAGATTGCAACGCCCATGTGGGCAAACTTCTCGGAGACTATGGACATGATGATCGCATGGAACCTGGATGCACATGTAATGGGTACGTTTTCGTATGTATGCCACTACGCGTCGTTTCTGATCACACCAACTCTAGGCGGATATGAGTTCTTAATGAATAATTGTATGTTCTACAATCGATCTATCCAATACGATCGGTTAATGGCGGATGTCCTGTCTCAGATCAAGCTGGCGACAAGATATGCTTATTCGGCTTCTCTCGAGGCGCATACACTGCGCGCGCAGTTGCCGGAATGGTTCACAAAGTATGCCGTGTATGTCATCTTTGATTTGATCCCGTACTCACGCCAGCGACGACAGGTAGGGTTACTCCCGAGGTCCAATCACCAGCAAGTCCCTTTTGCGTACCACATGTTTTCCCGTACGGATGAGCTTGGCTGGAAACAATCGACTGCATTCAAGAAGACATTTTCTATGGATGTCGATATCGACTTTATTGGAGTTTGGTGAGTCGGCTGATACAATTACCACCTAGTCTATTGTGAGTCTGCGTCAGCTAATCCATCTCCTCCATCCAGGGACACTGTTTGCTCTGTTGGTTTAATTCCTAAGAGGCTTCCTTTCACTATGTCAAATGACTCTATACGTGTTTTCCGACATGCGCTCTCGCTTGACGAACATCGTGCAAAGTTTAAGGCCAACCACTACAACTACCCCAGTGAAGACGAAGCCAAGCTGGGTATTCAGCCGGGTGACATGCCCAAATCGGGGGCTCGTAAACGAACCAAGAAGAAAGGTTTAACGGAGCTTGAGGAAGAGTTCTCTCAACAGGACGGGCACCATGGGCACACTGATGTGCTCGAGGTGTGGTTTGCTGGGTGCCATTGCGGTGAATACTCCCTCCCTTACTCCAAGGTGTTGCATCACTGATGTATACCATCCAGACGTTGGAGGTGGCTCTGTGTCGAACGAGGACACGCAGAATCTCGCGCGAATTCCTTTGCGCTGGATGATTCGCCAATGTTTCCTCACAAAAACCGGCATCCGATTCCACTCCGACCTTTTGCATACGGTTGGCCTCGATCCTGCCTCGCTCTTTCCCTACGTAAAGCAACGTCCGCCGGCAATCTACTCCTTGCCGAGTCATCCCCGAGAAGCTACCGCGGCGACACTCGTAGATGCCTCTTTACCTGGAAACGAGGAAGAAGAGGACTACAAAGATGCTCTGCGTCCCATTTATGATCAGCTCACTCTTGCGCGCTATTGGTGGCTATTGGAGATCGTCCCACTAGAGCATCGGCGACAAAGTAAGGATCATAAATGGACGAACAAGATATAGTGCGTACACGATATGTTTTATTGGTTTGAAGGAAAGTTTACACGTCATGTCTAGCGTCAACCTAGGTGGAGGTCGAGAAATACCTGAACACCAACCCTTCTATGTGCATCGGAGCGTTAAAACTAGGTTAGAGGCGCACGACCTCGAAGGGGGACCGTACAAACCCAAATGCGCAAATTTCGACCGCATGCAGCCGATCTGGGTGGATTGAGTGAACTAGTTGTATTGACTTCTTGAGTGTAGGTGTAGTCTTGGAACGGGTTATGCCGACCGCTGTCCGCGTGTACGATACTGGCTTCATAGCATCTAATTACACTTTGCGCCTTCTAGTCTTTTCGCTTCCGCTTGCCCATGGGAAGAGATAACCGAGAAGCACTAGACGCGTATGATAAGGACGTCCTACTCCGAGCTCGCCGTGAGGGGGAGTTGCTGGGCTCGACCTGGTCTGAGAGTGGCAAATGATTCAGGACTAGTCTAGATCCGACCAGACTGTTGACGAGCTGTAGCCTGTGGGCTCTCCCAATAGCCCTCTAGAACGTTTCGGAGCTGTGGTGAGATCGAATGATTGCATTCACTCGGAGTCGCCCGCTGTGGCCGGGGTATCGGAAAGTTAGCTCGTCGCTTCAAGGAGAATTTTAGGCGCTTCTGAAAGTTGCAAATACACACTGCGGCAGGCGTCCAGGTTGACTGGAACGGCAGCTTGCTAAGGGCGCTCAGATATCCACCGCTTTAATCTCCAAATCGTTCCACTTCAGCACTCTAGATTCGGCTTTCATGGCTATGTTTTCAGCAACGATGACCCGACGCGCATGGCAGGTTACGTATACTGATCCGTGAGTGCAGAGCTCTTGGGCCGTATTGGTCATGAGGCCTCCCAACTCTCGGGCTTGTATCCGGAGAATCTTGCCAAAGACTGGGTACGGTGGGAGAATGGGGTGTCATACTCGAGGACAGTAAGAAAACCCGTGGATGACCAGCTTGAGGTAAGCAATCTCTGCAAGTTTTACCTCAAAGTTTAACTTGATAACTGGCACTCGCGCCCGTGTACAGCAGCATCGCGAATCGCCGCTATAATACTGCGCGTTGGGCATCACTGATGCTATTCGCTAGCGTGACGAATATACGGGAGGTGTCAGGAAGAGTTCAGCGCAAGTGCCACTAACGCGGCTGGATCACTGCATACCGCATGTCCTGATCCGATTTGATTACTTGGCTGCCGGAGAAACCTTGTCGAGTGTGATAGGCATCGCCAGAGGAATCCCCATCCGAAGATTAAGCTTACTTAGGGTATGTGACGGTAGAGTGTTGTTCCCCGCATGCTGCCTTTGACTGATTTACTTGATCATAATATGCACACTAACGCAGTGCGCAGTGCTGGAGAGACTTTCATATTTCAGCTGAGGCTGTCGAATCCGAACCTCTTGACTCCAGCAACCATCGCTCATGTACATTGGTCCCAGCCCCGTGGAGTTCTATGTTCTCCGGTAAGCTAAGCAGATCATCTGTTTACGAATCAAACGAAAGTGGTACGACCTTGAAGGTATCCTTTCCCTCCGAGATCGCACATTGCGTCGTAGTAACCGCGTTCTCATTTTCATAGCATACAGTGCCTTCAGCAGCGTCGCTTTCAGTCTGTATTATTGGACAATGTTCATACCGGCCCGCGGCCAGTAGCAGAATTGTACATATCGATATATTGATGTCGATGGTAGTGTAAGAAGAGTACGGTTGTAGCAAATATTCTTCAAGTGTGCGGCGCTTGCCGGACGTTAGTCGGTATGAAGGAAGAACAGTACTAGGTGTGTCATGTATCATGGTCATGTCCGGAGAACATTACCGGGTCTGCGGCACAGTGCCTTGGGATGCCTACAGTCGTCGTGCTTCAGACTTGGAGCGTCCTCCCTATGTCCGCGTGTGAGCCTGAGACCTGTTGTCTTTGTGATGGCACTTGGGCTCAGCCCAGAGTGTGAATATAAGCCTCCTATGTCTTTCACGAATTCTGCATCCTGCTGCCCTCCGACGAAGCGTCCGGACTGCCACGATGAACTTGTTCATCAGCTGTCTTCTGTTCGCCTTGTTGATGACTTGGTATTATGTTCGCAGACAACTCGACCCTGTGCGTCTTCCGAATCCTCGTTGCACTTTCCGCTGATTCGACTTTCGTCTGCATAGTTGAATTCTATTCCAGTAGTGGGCCCTTCATGGCCAATCATATCGTATCTTGGGGCATTTAAGTTCGCCCGCCATGCGAGGGCGATGCTGCAGGAAGGATATAGCAAGGTATTTGTTCTAACTGAGCATCGCGTCATGTAGGTCTACGCGACTTACATGGACATCTAGTACAAGGGTTCTGCATTCAGGATCGCTATGTTGGACCGATGGATTGTTATCGTCTGTGGTGCTGAAATGAACGAGGAGTTGCGTAAGTTTCCAGACGATCAGATGTCTTTCATCAATGCCGCCGAGGAAGTAAGAACTGTGCACATGCTTCGCTGCATACTAATCATCATATCCCGATTAGCTTGTTCAAACGAAATACACAATCGCCGAAGACGTGATTGCGCACCCAATTCATATCAATGTCATTCGGGGACCCCTCACACGCAATTTAGTATCGATATTACCTGCCGTTATCGACGAAATTGACGCGGCTTGCCGGGAATTGATTCCAACCGAAGGAGATGGTCAGTTCACGATTCTATTTTACCGGCAGTTTCAATGTAAATTGACTCGCCATTCAGAATGGGTAACAATACCTGCAGTTCCTCTTATGACCGGCGTCGTGTGTCGGGCCAGTAACCGTGTATTCGTTGGTCTACCGATGTGTATGTGTTTATTGTCCATATTACACAAAACTTGCATTATTGACGACGTATGACGTATTTCTATGTCTAGGTAGAAACCGCGAGCTGCTGGATATTGCTATCAATTTCACACAAGATGTTGCCAAAGGGCGTCGCTTATTGAGTTTCATCCCCGTAATGCTGAAACCGTGGGTACTGTCCACTTCGTCTCAACCTTATTTTCATCGGGTCTCGTAGATTTGTAGGGCCGATGTTACCGTGGTCACGACGAGCACTTAGAAAGTTTTCTGCTATCATGAAACCAGTTGTCGAAGACCGCATGCGGCAATTAGAGATTCACGGGAAAGAATGGGCGGGAAAACCGGTATGCACGCGTCAGCTCTACGAATTTGCTTCGAGGTGGTTTGCTAATGTGACACCAGAGCGACTTAGTGACATGGCTTGCAGAAGAGGCTCATCGTGTGGGGAAATCAGTTGATCTCGTCGTGCAAGCCCTGTTAGCGTCCAATTTCGTGGCAAACCATACCTCCACTATTGTATGTATCTATCATATCAACAGACTTACGACATCGCTAATCACTTGGTCGAAAATCAGAGCGTCACACATGCCCTGTACCATCTGGCTGCAGCCGCAGAACATATTCAGCCTCTTAGAGATGAAATCGAGACTGCTATAGCCGCGGAGGGATGGACGAAAGAGGCCATCGGCAAAATGTGGAAACTGGACAGCTTCATGAGGGAATCCCAGCGATTGAACGGAATCAGTGGCAGTGCGTATTGCACTCTACCTCATCTGGACGTGGACTTAACCCGGAGGGAATTAATTTGACAGTCTCGGTGATCCGACTAGCGCTAAAAGATGTCACGCTTTCTGACGGAACTGTCATTCCGGCTGGAACGCTCTGTGGGGCGACAGCCGAGGGGACACATCACGACGAGGAGAACTACAAACAGCCACATACATTCAATCCTTTCCGATTTTCCGAGAAACGGTCTGATGAAGGTGAAGGGATAAAACACCAATATGTCAACACGTCCCCAGAATATATCTCCTTCGGCCACGGCAAACATGCCTGGTGAGTATTGCATATCTGATCTCCTCTCTGGATTTCCTGATCATAGTTTTCAACACCCAGTCCGGGTCGCTTCTTTGCTGCGAGCGAACTGAAAGCCGTGATCGCGTATTTGGTTGTGAACTACGATGTCATGTTCCCGGGAGGGGGAGGGCGGCCGACAAACCAGTGGTTTGCTTCTTCAGTCATACCCGATCCAACTGCGAAGATTATGTTCCGCAGACGACGACGGAATGACCAATAGATAGCTGGATTTATGTACAGATGCGTGAGCTTAGGGAGTCGGGTTAAACCCACTCAGAATATACATGCACCATGTAGGGATAGATGGAGTACTGTGTTTTTCATTTTGCGCCACAGTTACGGCGTGATTATGATCATCACTCATTGTTCCAAATGTCCAAGTTGAAATAACTGATCGTGATGAACGACCGGCTCTGCTCAAGTGGGAGTAGAGTGTATTCGGGTCATGGAAACAGCCAATCAGAAGCTGCGATAAGCTTTGAATCTGATTGGCTGGCTTACTTGACCTGCAGTGTTCACACTCTTAACTGTTAAGTACTTTGGTCTCCAGAGGTACGGATCTGCGCTGAGTGGCCCATCACGGAAACCAGAAACTGAGCGCTGGTTGTGATGCTCAAATTGAAGCTTCATCCCACCCCACTGCCATGGCCAGAGCCCACTGAACAGTGATAGCAGAGTATTTAAATGTTGAGTAACTGGGATGTAACCCCTTCATTACGCAGTCTGAATCAGGATGTGATCTTGGTATCGCCAGTCCAGTGTCTCATAAAGATCTGACGGGGCATGAGCGCTGCGCAGTGGGGTGTAACAACAATGGACCCTGGTACAACGTGGTTGGAAGCTCTCGCCGCAGGCACAACAGTCACATTATTATCGCCCGTCTCGCATGTTCGAGTTACCAGGGAAATCAAGGTGCCTGGCTTCCCCCGAGCTCCACTTTTACACTATCGCCACTGACGCCTTATTGCTTCTATCTCGTCAAGTAAGCTGGGAGGGCCATCCGGTCTGCTGCTAATTGAACAGAAGTGGTACGACTTCCGCGGTAGCTGTATTTTCCATATCTTATCCTATTTTCATTTCATAGGATGCGGTGCTGTCAGCTACTGCCTGCTGTAGTCCATGCGCTTTCCTGGGACCCAGTTTGTAGCTAGGAGCACGAATGAACACCCAAGTCAATCCTTGTGTGCACCGCTCGGAACGGAAATGAATCTTCTCCCACTCGCCGGTCGTTAGCTGGTATGAAGCGGAGGACCTTGCATGTCATGCCTCGTCATAAACTGGGGAATGTCATTGACATACGGTAAAGCGTCTTTGTAGCTCCACAGTCGCATTGTAAGCATCCTCTCTACATCCGCGTGGGATCCCGAGACCTGTTGGATACGTGATTCCAAATAACCTCACGGCAACAGTACCCAGTATAGGATATGCATAAAAGCCTCTCTTGTTGTTCGCGAGCTCAGGACTTGACTCCCTGCGAAAGATCTAAGTCTCTCAAGATGAACGTAATGATTAGCTGTATTCTATTTGCCTTGCTAGTCTCTTGGTTCTACGTTCGTAGAAGACTCAATCCCGTACGCGCTTTGATACTTTGCCGTGTCTCATTGACTGACCTCCCTGCATAGCTATATTCTATCCCCGCAGTTGGACCCTCCTGGCCACTCATATCCTATCTGGGAGCATTCAGATTCGCCCGTCATGCTAGGGAAATGCTGCAAGAAGGGTACGATAAGGCATGCGCTCTTTAATTTCGTCTATGCTGTTACTTACATATGGGCTCAGTACAAAGGTTCTGTGTTTAGGATCTCCATGCTGGATCGCTGGGTTGTTATTGTCTGCGGTGCCGCAATGAATGAAGAATTGCGGAAGCTACCAGACGATCAGATGTCCTTCCTCGGAGCCGCGGAAGAAGTAAGAACCACATATCTGCTTCGCGGCGTTCGACTGATCATACAATGTCGAACAGCTGGTTCAAACCAAGTATACAATTGCGGAAGATGTGATTTCAGATCCGATTCATATAAACGTCATCCGAGGACCTCTTACTCGCAATCTGGCAACGGTACTGCCTGCTGTCGTCGATGAAATCGATGTTTCTTTCCGGGAACTGATTCCAACTCATGGAAATGGTCAGCTTTCATATATATGATGTCGTCACTGTGATAGCGTACTGACAAGATGCTTAGAATGGGTGACCATTCCTGCAGTTCCTCTCATGGCCCGAGTTGTGTGTCGTGCCAGTAACCGGATATTCGTTGGCATGCCAATGTGTACGGTTCATATTGTTCCACATTCGAATATTTACAAATGGCGTGTGTATATGTACAGGCAGAAACAGCGAATTGCTGGACATCGCTATCAACTTCACGCGAGATGTCGCCAAAGGACGATTCATACTCAGCTTTGTCCCTATTATGCTGAAGCCGTAAGTTTCATTCAAGTCAATTTCGCGTCCGCTTTCTTACGAATCATGCAGGCTTGTGGGGCCACTGTTACCATGGTCACGAAGAGCCCTGAAACAATTTTCCGTGATCATGAAGCCGGTCGTAGAAGACCGCATGCGGGAGATAGAAGAACACGAGAAAGAGTGGGCAGAAAGGCCGGTATGTACATTCTATATTGGCTGGGTACTGAACATGTTGAATGTTCTAACGATATATCAGAATGATTTGGTGACATGGCTTGTGGAAGAGGCCAACCGTGTGGGTAAATCGACCAACTTGATCGTGCAAGCTCTGCTAGCATCCAATTTCGTGGCGAACCATACCTCCACTATCGTATGTGCACATTTTCAGCAGTGAATTGTTGGTATTGATCCTGAAGTTGAACTCAGAGTGTTACACATGCCTTATATCATCTAGCTGCAGCCCCGGAATATATTCAAGCACTTCGGGAGGAGATTGATGCTGCTTTGAAGACGGAAGGATGGACCAAGGCCGGGATAGGCAAGATGTGGAAACTCGACAGCTTCATGAGAGAATCCCAGCGACTGAATGGGATCAGTGGCAGTGCGTCTCGGACTTCAATACGTTGACATGGGTCTAATCTTGGAGGACGTTGACATTGCAGTCTCGGTGATTCGATTAGCGCTGAAAGACGTCACGCTCTCGGATGGAACTCTCATCCCGGCTGGAACGCTCTGCGGGGCAGCAGCTGAAGGCACACATCACGATGAGGAGAATTACAGCCAGCCGCATCTCTTCGATCCTTTCCGATTCTCGGATAAGCGATTTGATGAAGGTGAATGGATGAAGCACCAGTATGTTAACACATCCTCAGAATACATATCCTTTGGCCACGGCAAGCATGCATGGTATGTGCTACGTTTCCAAGCATTTACTCAACTTTGTGGTTGACTGTGCGTGTTTTCAACCCGCAGTCCAGGTCGCTTTTTTGCCGCGAACGAACTTAAGGCCGTGATTGCATACCTGATTGTGAACTACGATGTCATGTTCCCAGGCGGAGGAGAACGGCCGGGAAATGTGTGGTTCGGTTCCTCGGTCATACCAGATCAGACGGCGCAGATCATGTTCCGTAAACGACAGCGCATCGAGTAATTAACGATTTGTAGATTAGTGAAGTTAGCCACTGGGGTCGTATCATTGTACCAAGTGAGGATTCGACAATATGGATAATAAAGGTCTTCGTACACTCCCTTTACGGCGTTACGGCATGATCATGACCGCATTGTACACGGCCACATTATGCTGAATGCCACTTATTTCATACCAGATCACCGTGAGTGTCCGGTCTAAAATTACCAGTGGCTTTGCAATGCATTAAGAGTCCAAGCCTCATGGAAGAGCGACAGGTGTTCTTAGCCTACAATATAGCGGTAGCACTTTCCCGTCTCGGGGCCGACAGAGATCGCCCCTCTGGGTGGCACACTAGTGAAACTTGCAGAAAGCGCTGCATTCGACATCAGTAGGACGGCCGGAGTAGTACATCAGAGTGATCGCGAGGAGCTGGCATCGTGATGAAAACACAACGATACGCGGATAGGTATGTGCAGGCGTCATACATGAGCTGATATACGTCCCAAATCGAGTTATTATAAAAGCGCATAGTCAGAAACCACCCAAACAGCCCTCATCTAGTCTTGGCGAAAACGAAACAAAAACTTTCACGTCGTCGTTCCTCTTTAAACCCGGACGACCATTCTTCCCGTCGGTATGCGCAGGAAGGACGGAAGAACGGAATTGCGCAGGAGAACATTCGTCCGTCCGGATTGAGGAAGGCGCGTGTGAATCAGAAGGGTAAATGAAGAGAGGTGGGATGGGAGTTGTGATCAGCGCGGACAGTTTTGGATCCGGTGGAGTCGTCACCAGGTCATCAGTCTCATCCGAGGGAGATAAGTCTGGGACCAGTGACGGAAGGGAGGGAACGTCGAACGATGTGGTGGGAGCGTCAAGGGGTTCCGGGGTGCAGGCTTCGTACGCTCGAGGGTGAAAGTAGCTACCCTTTACATCCTCCTCCTCTTCCTCGGTGTCACTGCCGTAATCGCGGGCGCGAGTACGTGATCGGCCTCTTCTCCCATCGTCGGCGTCCGCAGGAGGAGAGTATACTCGCTCATCTCTTCGTTTGAGCAGCAAGCGCTCGTTTGGGGAGACAAGAATGGGCGCACGATCGTAGGTGTGAGGAGAGTGCGTGAAGCGCATTGAATGCATCCACGGAGTGGGAGGAAAGTGGACATGAGGAGAAAGAATGTAGTCGCACGTCGTGAACGGGAGATCGTTAGCTAATGGCGGCGGAGACGAGTCCCGCTTGAGGATCGGACGAGGACGAGTTCGGAGTGTCATCGTAATGGTCGAGAAAGTAGGCGCGACGCTATGAATGATGATAGCGAATGGTACTCTTGAAGACGTCAAGGGATGACAGGGCGAGCGGTAGGCAGCAGTCCGAACGACGCTGAGGGCGCCTCCCAAAGCGATGCTCTTATATGCCGGACGGGATAAGGCATGACCCCACAGCGGATCGTGGAGTGTGAGCACAGCAGACTACAAGTAGTTAGCGCGCACAAGCTTCCGATCAATTTAGTACCTTCAGCACCCAGTGGCACACAAAGTCATGTATTGTTCCACCTATTCCGGGAGTAGATCCGACTCCTAAACATCAAAGACCAGAGAGCGCTGCTAATCTGGTACCCAGTGGAGGCAGAAGACGCGCAGAAAAAATGGGCACGGCACCTGAACACTCGTTGGCAGCGGACACACATAAGCGAGCAGTGGAGTGCGCGAAGGGGAGTTGACGGAAGACAAGTCCCAGCGGGAGATTTCAATGTCGATAGCTCATACGCAGACCGGTCCGATCATGATCTCACAAGACGTTATGTCTTGCGGGGCGTTCCGACACGGCTACACATCTCCATGGACGGAAGCATTCACAGGTGGGGCGCAGATTTCAATGTTCCAGTGCCGAATTTAGTAAGTGCTATCGTTACATCAACCGTCTTGCGCACGCATGGGGTGTTAGAACTACCGAACATGTTGCGTACTCTCATCGATGAATACAATGCGCTAGATATGACAGGGTAAGATGTAAGATACTATCCATGGAATGAAAGATATGAAGGAAAACACGACATCACAGTGGAGTATGGATCCATTCTAATGCCTTCCGCATCGCGATCAGCTCTGCCATGGGTTCAGGTCAAAGGGACTTGTTGATTTCTTGCCCCCCTCACTGCTGACAGTGCGTCCGCGGAGATTCCACGGGTCCCTCTCTATGCTGAACGGCGAGGGCGAATAGGTTATCGAACCATCAGCTCCACCAAACGAAAGTGATGCCTCGGGGGTAGCAGACAGGAAATTATTCTGCGATGTTGAGGAAAGCCCATAAGAGTCAAATGCAGCTGAACCAAATGATGATTTCAGATTTGAACCGAAACTCAACGTCTCTTGCGACGCGGTGGGTTCTTGCGCGACGGAATGAGCATGAGTATTGAACGCATTCGCAATCGGGGTCGACATCGATGGCCCGCCAGGCCAGGCAGAACCAATGGCAGAGCCAAAGGACCTCGTAGAAGCAAGTCCCCTTGAGCTATGATGTAGCCCTCCCTCATCGGACACCAAGTCGTCTTCAGAGGTATCATTCATCGAGCGAGACCTTGGAATGGTGTCTCGAGGCACGAAAGAACTCGGCCCAGCCTCTGGTGCTTCCCGCTCCTCTCGTCTAGTGTCTAATGAAGACCGCATAGTCGGTGTCGACTCTGGTGAGTCTGGGGAAGGCAGTGGTACAGATCCTGAACGCTGAGTTGGTGGATGCAAATCTTGTACGGGGATGTGAGTGGGTGTGGGTATATGTAGATCGATCTTAGTGTCGGATGTGTTAATGACGTCCTTAATCGCGGCGAAATCGAAACCTGCATGGACAGGAATACTAGAGCTTGTTACATCGCCTTCAGAAACGTCGTCAGTGGGTGTTAATGTAGTTTCAGAACCCAGCGTGGGGACAGGCCGAGGTGGTGGTGCACTCGGTGAAGCCTCGCGAGGCGGTAAACCTTCATCCACCACACTCGACCGTACTGATGACGAACTCTTGTGCAATAAGATCGAAGGCGATGAAGGTGGACGCGAGACACGAGTTTCAGACACTGTCTTCTTCTTTCTTCTGGAGAACCAACTTTTCTTCTTTCCATCTTCCTCACCTTCTCTTACTACGATTCGATCCTCCGTGAAATCAGGCTCCTACAGAAAAGTGTGAGATACAATCTCACCATCGGGATAGACTCTCAACGATACATACAACAGGCTCGTCGAAATAGTCTGCTGAGACCGGGAAACCAAGTTGGTCCAGGATCAGAGGCAGAAACGTGCGATAGCTCATATGCCCAGCTATCTTGTCTGTAACGTCAACATTCTCTAACCCAGGCACGTTCTGGATGGGACGCAGCCCTGCTACGGTGTTAAGGCCGCCACCCGTTGCACGGAATAGATAATTGAGCACCCAGTCATTCCTTGCATACGCGTTGACAAAACGGCCCGAGATGACGGAGCGAACTTCAAGCCATGTGCGGAGTGGAGCAGTGAGCGTCGCACCCATGAGAAATACATCCTGCACAACTCCGAAAGCTTTGTGTTTCGCTAGCTCAATAAGAGCATAAAATATCACCCGTGCTCCCAGAGAGAAGCCAATGAGGGTTATGGGACGTACACCAAGATGCCGGTTTAAGAGGACATCTGCTAGCACAAGACCCGCTGATTTAGCACGATCCAATGCATTAGACCAAGGGTTGTCTATCAAATAGCCCAACTTGGTCAATACTGCGTGAGGGTGAATACCGTGTCAGAGACTGCTCGTCATTTCTCAAGAATACACACAACTGACTGATCGGCCATTGCAGAGCACTCATCAGTGCCGTCATGACTGTGGCCTGTAGGGCAGTCTGAGCCAATTGTGTAAGCACCTCGCCAGTTAGAATCTTGAGGGCGCTTCCAGTTTCGCGAATCATTTCCGGCTCCCAGAGGACACTGAACACATCCCCCACTACGGGATCAAGGACACTGAATGGAAGACGAACATCGTCCTGCGGACCTGTTATAAAGCTGTCAAGTTTGTCAACCAGGAGGTAAATCAGAATAAGAAAGATTAGAAAGAATTACCCAGGTACGGTGAGTATGCAATTCACTCGCTTGTTGTTGTGAAGAGGCAGTATGTCAAACGTTCGCACATAACGTGTCCTCTTTGCCATACCATGAACGGCCACGCCCGAGCCAGTCAGGATACCACCGGTGGTTATGACGGCAGTCCCAGCAGTTCCGACCAAAAACCCAGTTGTCCCAGATATACCGATAGTAGCAAGGGCGCCTCCTAGGCCAAGACCAATCACCGGTGCAAGAAGTCCTGCCGAAAGTCCAATGACTAGACCACCACCTATACGAGTGTCAGGCTTGGGTCCAATAGCGTATATCGACGAATGCACAATATCGCACCTATAGTAGCGAGTCCAAGCATCATATATCGTCTCTTCCTTGTATTCTTTTGCACGCCCTTAATGACGTCCCCTTGCTCTAGCGTCTCAATGCTCTCCTCAATCTCGAGCGCCTCCGACACTCGCCGCTCGAACTTGACCACATCCAACCACCCGAGTCCTAGCTTGAGCGCAACATTCTCGAGTAGCACGCGAGAACGGGCATCATACACACTGTCCGCAATAAGCACAAGGAAAAGGTCGCAGAGGACAGTCCATCGGATATCAAGAGTAACGTTCTCGTCAGCGGCAGAGAGGTGTGTACTAACACCAGGAACGGACGAGGAGGTATCTGTGAGCACTCTAGCAGTAGTTTGTTGAGGCTTTGGTGCGCTCGTGGGTGTTGAATCGACGTTGGCGTTGGTAGGAATAGATGACTGAGGCAAAGATTCAGAAATATCTGCAGAATCTAATCCATCTATTTGCGCATCCTCCGAGATCTGTTTCTTGTCGGCTTGCTTCCGAGCCTCCGCTGGATCGTATTCGGGATTTGCAACTGTATGGGTTGTCATGAGAGCTGGCACGAGATCCTTCGCCTCGATGCCATGCACAGCAAGACTGTCTATCATCTTCTGCTCTGGCGGACTCGTTCAGCGTAAGATCAACCTAAGTCGAACGCACAGGAGAGTACTGGATCACCTTGAGTGCTCAACTCCATATGATAATACAACCGACCCATGATCTTTAAAATCCACAGTTCCATGTCGTCAATCGCCTTCTTCACCTCCTTCCGGTTTAATGCCTTCAGCTTGCCTGACATCTCGCGACTGGTCAGTGCACATAAACCAACGTACGCTACCCGCTGCGCTTCTGTCAGAAGATCCTTGGTGGCTTGCATCTGGCTGAGAGGAGTCATAGCCTTGTCTTCATCAAAAAGATACCTCGTGCGTAGGTGTACTTCGTCAGATTCATCCTCCTCGTTCACTCGTAGACGCGTGTATTCGCTTTCGTTCTGATCGACCTTGGAACGCCATTCGCTGCCCTCGTAGTCAACATCCAGAAGGTTTCCGGTCGCATTTCCTCCCACCCCAGAGGCATCCTTCTTAGCAGATGCCACATAGTGATACTTCTTTTGATCTTCCTCGTCTAAACCATTGGCGAATTCATCCCCCTCTCGGATTACGGGCATGTCTTGCCAGCCATCATCGTTCTCATCGAAGATGTCCGCTTCAATGGGCGCAATAGGAGGTGGTGCCAGGACCGGCATCTGAAGTATTCAGGACGTGAAGAGTAGAGCGACACCGGAAGATTCAGTCGCCAGTCTGAGCAGGTAAACGAGGCAGCAATATGGCGGGGTGCAACGGAGGGACAAGGCATCAGTTGAATGCTCCGAGCCAGCGGCTACGCCGAGATCGGTATCACACGCTCGACCATTGCTTGACCACTGCTGCATGCTCGCTCGGACTGGTTATTCCGTCTAACATTCATCGTACGTACGCTCAACGCAAGGCTCAGCGGCCACAAATACTCCTCTAGTTTACAGGGATAAATGTACATGTCTCCGTAGACTATGTACTCTTAATCTGAACCCTCGCCACCTCTCTCTCTTGCACTTTCCTCCGCGTCTCTTCTTGCTTCCAAGCCGCTTTGACCTTCCTCTGGCGTTTTCGCCGCCCATTGCCTCTCTTTGCACCTTCGACTACAATCGCCGCGGCCAGTCGCTGTTTCCGACGTACAACTTCCTCGGCTCGCTGCTTCTCTCGCTTCTTGTCGCGCTTTCGAAGAGCACCCATGGAAGATTTTAGAAGAGTACCATATGTTGAGTGGAACTTGTCGAGCTGGCCGGACTCAACCTACGAGGGACATGAATAATCATTATCAACAGACTAAATCCATACATTGATAGTAGACATCTATCAGGAGTTTAAGACTTACACGCGTGGAGAAGTTCACGTCTTTGCCATTAGTTACTCGCACTAGACATAGGTACTCTTTTATTTCGTCGTCGGCGGACGAATGCATGTGAGAGTCTTCGCCATCATGTATAACTAGAAGTACAGTGACATATCGATGAGTGGGTTAAAATCTTCCGAGCATGTATCACGCACGTCGTTTATGAGTGAGCCATATCGATCCTGAATCCCGAGTTGATTCAAACAGCGTGGTCAGTTGTCTAAAAAACTGTGCATGCACTTTGAGATTAGCACGTTTAATTATTTTAGAGCTGAAAACGTACAGTGTCGTGGTCTACCAGCTGCATTGAAGCTGGTAGATGAATGGCAAAGATTTATCCCAGTTTTCCGGGAGTCCTGGCCGTTACAAGTCACAAGCGCCACTTACCGGTGAGGCAATGTGACGCGTCGACCAGATTGTCACAGTCCTAGTCCTGACGTGCAAACATTCCAACTCTCGAACAATGCAATGAGATTGCAAAGCAATCTAAGTACAAAACGTAGGCGGAACGTATATAAGACAACAGCACGATTATTGCCACTCCTCCCAGCCTGAATCTAGACCATCCAAAATTCTCCATCGATGATCCCCCAGCCATGAACGCAAACGTTCCTCATCTTGTGCCTCCGCCGCGTCATCGAGAACACTGACATCCCCCTTATCCCACAGCGAAAGAACCGACCATCCCACTACCATCATACCCGGCGGCCGTTGTTCCCCTGAATTCTCTAAAGCGCACAATATATGTTGCAAGGTAGAGAAGATGACGCGTTGATCGGGCATTGAAGCACGTTCAATGATCGCAATGGGTGTATGGGCGGGATATGCGGGACCGTTTCTCCTGGAAGTCTGCTCTCCTTGCGCATTCAATGTCTCCAGAATTTGAGGTAATCTCGCAACACCCATTAAAATGACTAGCGTACGACTCCGCTCATATCCTGGCAACCTCACTTCTTTTCCTTGCCTCCCGACGCCAGTACAGACGACGAAAGATTCTGCAGCCCCACGCTGCGTGACGGGTATCCCAGCAAAGGTAGGTCCCGCTAGCACGGAGCTTACGCCGGGCACGACTATAGGTTCGAACCCATGCCCTCGGAAATAGAGGATTTCCTCGCCGGCGCGGCCGTACACAGATGGATCACCCTGTTTAAGCTTCATCGGAATTCAACGCGATATCAAGAAACGAGAACGAGGACGATCTTACCCTTACGACGGTTTTACCGCACTTCGCGGCTTCTATTGCGGCCTCCATCAGTTCGAACTGTGCGCCGTCTGCATTGCCAGGGAATTTTCGTGCAATTCGAATCTCGATACCTGGAGGTATAAGCGCCAGGACAGCAGCTGGCACTAGCTTGTCAGAAAGCACCAAATCAGCATGCTTGGTGAGCGCCGTGTGCGTCGCGAGTGTCAACAGAGATGGATGTCCTGGTCCAGACCCGACGAGGTATATTTTGCCATGACGCTGGGATGGCTGTATGGAGAGCGAGTGCAGAGAATATGTATCACCGTGGCTTTGTGGCGATCGCAACGTTGTTCGATCCGCCTCAGTAGATAAAGAGCCTGGGAGACCTATGCGCCCGTCGAGCACCGAGATCATATCTCCATCTGACATCTTCGCGAGTTGTTGTATTGGCCAATATTCGCTGACCTGTGCTACCCACTTCATACGCCTCTTTGCGTGTTCATGCACACTCTCATCGACGTTCCTTTGCGAAACTGGCCGATTCGGTGTCGACGGCCCCGCCTCCTCATTGAGCTCCCCTTCAACATCCTCAACGATTGCTCCGTCTGATGATCTCGCGAGGTCCTTCAGCTTCCTTATATTGACAGCAGCAGAGCCCGCGTCCCGGGGTAGTTTTGAGACGATGTCTCGGCGTAGTCGACTTGCCAGCCGACACCCGTGGCCATTAGCGGTGATCCCAATTTGCAGAGGTGAAGCAGCGTCGGTTTCCGGATCACGGAATCGGTGAGAGGACATAAACGTAAAGTCGCATAAGTCCGGCATATCAGTGACATTTACCGGTATGTTGCGAAAGCGACATGCTTGAGAAATCAGCTGTGCGGACGAGCGACTGCGACGTGAGGCCGTCCCAGCCATTGTGTCCGTGATGCAGACCAATCTAATTCCGTCGGATGAAGAGAGGAGTTCGCCAAGTGCTTCTGCATCCCTATCGATGGCAGCTTGAGAAGAGCAAGGTAACGCATCCAGATCCAAAATCCGAAGCTGGTTGTTTTGAGCCCGCCACTGCAGCTCATTGCATGCAGCTAGTAGGCCACCATTGGTCAATATGATGACATCTGAGTCTGCCTCGAGAGCGGCAAAGGCGCGGGTAGCTGCCAATGAATTTGAACCAACAATAAGGACAGTCTGAGAGGCGAGGCGAAACGATAATAGCAAAGATGCTCCTTTTGTTGGCAACGCGTAAGCTTCCGCCATGAATGGTAGTGTAGTCCTAGCTAACTTGGCGTTCCATAGCTAACATATGAGGGAACGGCCGGTCAGCATGATATTACGACGACGAACCTTCTTGTTGCGCTTCCTTCACAGGTGAATCCAAGCCTGCAGACAGAGATTCGATAGCGCGACGGCATACCGACAAGAGCTTTAAGTCTTCCGGGATTATTGTAAGCGCGCGTGGCGAGACGATGGTGCCAATGTGAGCCGTGTCACTTATCGAGACAGCAAAATTGAAAAGTCAGAACGGCTGGGTACGAGCCTGCGTGTCAGTCACGGTCCGTCACTCGACCGTCAGTCAGGGAGATACCATATATGGAAGACGCAACGCGTCGCTCACGTGCGCCGTTAGAACGCAGCATGTTACAGTGTCCGAACCGCGTTCTCCTCCAGGTATCGACGCACACAATGCCACCTCGCCGCTCGACTCGTACAGTACGCGCGTCTGCGGAACTCACCTCATCGAAAAAGGAGCCAGCTACAAAACGGAAACGTTTGGAAGCCCCAGAACCTGAGCAAGAGAATGTCAAACCTGCCCCTCGAACGCGCAGATCTACCGCTTCTGTCGCGTCTACCGCGTCTTCTTCCACAAAACGCGCTGTCGCAAATTCAACTCGTCCCAGCAGAACTTCCACACGTAGAAAGAAGATAAAGGAGGAGAGCGATGATGAGGACCATATGGATAGAGTTCCTGACGACGACGAGAGACCAGCAAAGGGCAGGAAAATCAGCCCTCCTTCCGATATCGAGGAGGAAAATGCTGAAACACCTCGTGCTCAAGAACTCGATACAGCACAAGCCGATGATCTTTTGAAAGCCGGCGTGGCCGTCAAAGAAGCACCCGAGGTCCAGGAGATTATTGATACGTCAGATGTCGAGGAGGCTCGTGAGGTACTCTCTGCAGTGATAGTGGACGACGAGGAAGAAAACGAGGAGACGAAGGAGGACACACTGCAGCCACCCAGATCACCCACTCCAAGACCTGCTGCGCCGGAAGAGCCACAAGGCCCAAAGACACGCCTTGTAATTCACAAGATGGCACTGATAAATTTCAAAAGTTATGCGGGGAGGCAGGAGATCGGTCCCTTCCACAAGGTACGCTGGTGCTCCAACATCGCTACAGTTGCTACGCCTAAAGTTTTGTGCCAGTCGTTCTCTGCAATTGTGGGTCCAAATGGGTCGGGGAAGTCAAACACGATCGACGCTTTGTTGTTCGTTTTTGGCTACAGGGCTTCTAAGATGAGGCAAGGGAAGCTATCGGAGCTAATTCATAATTCGGCCCGCTACCCAGATCTGGAGAGCTGCAGTGTTGAAATCCACTTCCGCGACATTATTGATATGGTATGGTCTGTGGCAGCGCATGTAATGCGACTAGACTGACAGATTCCAAGCCTGGCCCAGACGCGTTTGAACTTGTGCCTGAGTCCCAGCTTGTCGTTGCGCGTACTGCGTACAAGAACAATGCCAGCAAGTACACAATCAATGGCCGACAAAGCAGTTACACCGAAGTGCAGACACTCTTGAAAGGTCGAGGCATTGACCTGGACCATAATCGCTTTCTAATTTTGCAGGTAAACGTTATGATTGTATAATGCGTCTTCTCCGTGATGTATCTTTCTCATATAGGGTGAAGTTGAGTCTATTGCGCAAATGAAGCCCAAGGCTCCCTCTGAGCACGAAGATGGTCTCCTGGAATATCTCGAGGACATCATTGGTACATCCAAATATAAAGAGCCTATTGACGAGGCCCTTATAGAAATGGAGCGCCTGTCAGAGGACCGATCGGAAAAGCTCAACCGACTTCGGATTGTTGAGCGCGAGCGCAACGCCTTAGAGACCAAGAAGAAAGAAGCTGAGGACTACCTGCGTCTAAACAATGATCACGTACGCGCGTTATCGCGTTTGTGGCAGTGGTATTTATGGCAATGTCTCATCAATGCAGAAGCATATGAGAAGAAGATTGTGAGTTGTCTCTTCACCTGCATATGCCATAGTTTTAGAGCTCATGATCGTTGGCAAAGACTCGGCTTGAAAAGGACTTAGAAGAGGAGACGGAACGTAATCGTGACGACATCTTGAACGTTGAAGCCCTCGCGAAAGAATATGAGGAGAAAGGCAAAGCGTCTGAGGTAAGTAACTGTCTTAATACGTGTCCTGGACTTTGAAGCAAGTGCAATTTAGAAAGTGAAGGCCGTGGCCGCTGAAGCCATCAAGAGTCTTGCTGCCCAAGAGAAGCAACAAGTCGGCTTGGAGGAGAGACGCAAGCACGCGAAGAGCAAAGCTAAGAAACTCAAGAAGTCATTACAGGATGTAGGTTCGCATAAGTGGTATAGATTGGACGTTCTCAAACCTGTACCCTAGGATGAGCATGCGCGATCGGAAGCCTTACGCTCCATTGAGGATAATTCTGCGAAAATCGAGAGGGAAAGGGCCAAAGTGGATGACCTTGAGGAATCCCTCGCCAAAGAGGAGAATGTTCTTGAGGAAATCAGAGACAGTCTGAAAGGCGAGCTTGTCTTCAAACTTACCTAACTATAAACATCTTATCCGATGTCGCAGACAAGACACAGGTCTTCCATGATCAGATTGAAGTGAAACAGAAGGAGCTTCAGCCTTGGACTGCCAAGATAAATGCGAAGAAAGCGGAGGTCGACCTTGCTACGAGCGAGCGGGATGCCCTCGCCAAAAAAGCAGAGGCCGCAAAGGCTGCCAGTAAAGAAGCTCAGGAGCTCCTGGAGAAATTGCAAACCGACCTTGAGTTAAAAGTAGGGATCGCACTTTTCGTAGTATCTCAGGCTAACGGCATGGGTTTTGTAGACTACCGAGCTCGAAGACCTTAAGACTACCAAGGCGAGTAACGCAAGAGAGATCAGGGATCAGGAGACACGGATGCAGGTGAGAGTCTGTTGTGCCGCTACATGCGATAACTAATGGCTGCATGTTGCCATTGCTAAAGGAAATGCAAGCTCGTGTACAGCAGTTGCGGTTGATAGCATCCTCTGCTCGGCAGAAAGCCGATGAAGCGAAAGCTTCTCAGGCCGCAAACACCTCTCAGAATAAAGTCCTCGATAGCTTGACTCGTCTCAAGAGTACAGGTCGAATTAATGGCTTCCATGTGCGTACCCACCTTGTTGAATGCATCATTCTTTGTGATTCATTCGATATCAGGGTCGACTTGGTAGCCTTGGGACAATACCTGACAAGTACGATGTTGCTGTGTCCACCGCATGTGGTGCGTTGAATAATTTGGTCGTGGATACGGTTGAGCAAGGTCAGGCGTGTATCGAATATCTCCGGAAGCAGAATGTCGGGCGTGCTTCTTTCATGGTTCTGGAGAAGCTACCCAACCGTGGTATGGACAAGATATCAACGCCGGAGAATGTGCCGAGGCTGTTCGACCTCATCAAGCCTAAAGACCCACGCTTTGCCTCGGCATTCTTCAAGGGCGTCGCGAATACACTCGTCGCGAATGACCTCGATCAAGCCAATCGTATTGCGTTTGGAGGCCAACGGAGGTGGCGGGTGGTCACTCTCGCAGGCCAATTGATTGACTCTTCTGGAACGATGTCCGGTGGTGGAACTCATGTAGCCAGAGGCGGGATGAGCTCTAAATTAGCAGCTGATGCGATACCACCGGAAGTGCTGAGGAAGTACGAGGAGGACAATGAGGCGGCTTCCAGACAGCTTGAAGAGGTCTCTCGCCACTTGCGCGAGGTCGAAGGGGAGTTAGACGCAGTCTCAAAATCTGCACCGCAGCTCGATATTGCAATAGAGAAAGTCAGCTTGGACATCAAAACCTGTTCTAAACGGATAGCTGAGGCGGAAAGGCGTGCGCGAGATCTCAAGTACGTGCTGACTATTTACTTCGAAGTATGAATTGACGTAACCCGCAGGTCAAAAATCAAGCCTGATGCAGGCGACATGGCTCGAGTGGCCACTTTGGAGGAAGAGATAGCTTCTTCTACCGAGGAACTCGAAGAGCTTAAAGAGAAGACGGATTCCATCGAGAAGGAGATCAAGGCCCTGGAGAAGAAGATCCTTGAGATTGGCGGCGCGCGTCTGTTGACACAGAAGTCGAAAGTTGACGGCATACGGCTACATATCAACCTTGCGAACGACGAGATCACCAAAGCAGAGGTCACAAAGGCTAAGGCAGAGAAGGACTCAGCGAAATTGGAGAACACTGTCCAATCTAACGGGGCTGTCTTGGAAGAGATGGAAGTGGAGCTGGGAGAGTTGAACGAGCAAATTGAGTTGATCAATGAGTCCGTGGAAGAACTTCGATCTGAAGTGGAGAACGCGCAAGCTGCTGTCGACAATTCTAAAGATGAGTTAGAGAACCTCAAGGTTGAGCTCGACGCGAAAACCGAAGAGATTCAAGCCTTCCGGCAGAAAGAGGTAATCTTTTATCGCAGAGGCTGGTCACTGGCGTAAGACTGAAATGCTGCCGCAGATGGAACTGCAGCAATCGATCAATGACTGCAGGAAGGAGGCAGCGGACAATGAGCGGACCCTTGACCATTGGAGGACCCAGCACGACAGTCTCAAGTTGGAAGAAATTGAGTAAGTCTTGTTTACCAAGGACACGATGCAATTCTTTACCGTCACATACAGCGATGATGAAGATGAAGATGAGAAGGCAGACCATGAAAAGCATCCTATCAAAGAGGAGCGTGTCGAGGACTCAGCCCACAGGTCACGCGAAGACATGCCGTCTTATGAGTTGCACGTTTACACTGTCGATGAGCTGTCCCTTTTCAAGAAGCGAGATCTGGCTGCTGAGGTTGATGATCTGAACGGTACTGTTCCGTTCGTTCATTATATTTCCTCTACTCATCCAGTTGTTCAGAGAAAATGAAGAACGCCAAGCCCGATCTCAGTGTCCTGAAAGATTACAGAAAACGAGAGGAAGAGTTTTTACGACGTGCCACAGACCTCGAAAACGTCACTGGGCTCCGCGACGCCAAGAAGCAGGAGTATGACACGCTACGGAAACAACGCTTGGACGAGTTCATGGCTGGCTTTAGCACTATTTCGCTCAAACTGAAGGAGATGTATCAGGTTGGTGAATCTTTAGATGTTTCAGAATCTATACTCATCGGACATGTGCAGATGATTACTTTGGGCGGCAATGCTGAACTCGAGCTAGTAGATAGTATGGATCCATTCTCTGAAGGAATTATATTCAGCGTCATGCCCCCGAAGAAGAGTTGGAAGAATATCTCCAATCTATCTGGAGGTGAAAAGGTGTGTATTCACCCTCAATTTCGGTGGTAGTCATCGCTTATAGTTGGTGGGCAGACTCTCAGTTCTCTTGCTTTAGTATTTGCACTGCACGTGTACAAGGTTTCATTCAAAAAGTCTTTCTTTTCCCTGCCTTGTCTGACCACGGGTGACAGCCGACACCGCTATATTTCATGGACGAGATTGACGCCGCGCTCGATTTTCGGAACGTATCTATCGTAGCCAATTACATCAAGGATCGCACAAAGAACGCGCAATTCATCATCATTTCACTTCGGTATGTGTCTTGTTGATTCTGCCTCACGCGTCCCTGACTAGGATGCAGTAATGACATGTTTGAGATGAGCCATCGATTGATTGGTATATACAAGACGGCGAACGCGACTCGAAGTATGCCTCTCGTCGTTGATAATCAACCAGTACTGATAACATACTCACAGGTATCTCCATCGATAACCAGCCCCTGCATGCAATACCCCTGAACGCCGCAGCAGCGTGAAGTTAATTATATGTATTATTTGTCTTGCTTGGTATGAATGTATCCACAAAGAACGTTGTAGCATGTACCTGTGTACATTTAACTGCTGCTGTCCATTGCTATCGCTAAATTAGAGTATTATGACTGTAATGCGTAAATCAAGAGGTCTCCCAGTGATTTTCCTTCCCATTTAGTGAGCGAGGCCACCCCAGTTTGCAGAGGGTACTCTTCAGGCAACAAAAGAGGTGTATTTGCAGTAAAGTATGGATGGTGAAGAGCGGCTGCAGCGCACAGTCGTAACGATGGGGGATAAACAAGCAATCGGTCAATTAGGTCAAGGGCATTTGGCGCAAAAGACGACCAAGGGGCGTCAGCACTTCCTCCCGGAAAAAATCCGGAGGGTAAATTGAGTAGCAGTGTTGAGAGCTCGACGGGCGGCACAATTTTAAATACCAACTTGTCCGCATCAGGTAATGTATTGAATGTCTGAAAATTAATCAGGTGTAATCATGAAAGATCTCAGGAGCAACAACCCACAGGCCAGCTTTGCTCATTGGGTGTTCCTCTTATTTGGAAGATGCTCCAAGCAAGGCCGATTGAGCCCTTCGACGCATCAAAGAGTGGATCCCGTGCCCATCCTATGTCTGGATCGCTACTCCTCAGCGACAATGGAACAATGAACGGCGCTGGATGTGAATCCTCTGCATCAGTGTCTACGCACGAGTATTCGTCGGAGTATTCATCGTGTAGTTTATGCATTTTCAGCGGTGTGAAGAATTCGGCAAACGTTGCACCGAGACTCCATAGATCTGTAGCAAAAGCATCATAGGTAGTAGCGCCAAAGAGTAGCTCCGGCGCACGATACGGCCTTTTTGCGACATGCCCATGAGCTGTATGTACATACTGCCGAGAGACGGACTAACCCAGTTGCTACAGCAGAGCACATTGCACCAGGTGGTTCAGGCCATAACTCACGCCCATCACCAGCTTCGCACCATGCAATCCCGAAATCGATCAGTTTGACGCAGCCACTGTCCACGAGTAGCAGGTTGCTAGGCTTTATATCACGGTGCGCGATACGCTTCTCGTGTAAGTAAGCCAAAGCGGATAAAATTTGATAAAATATGGATGTCGCAAGAGTGGTGAAGGTCGACGCTTTTTGTGTAACGTCCGAACTGTGGTCATATGAAGGCGCAGGGTGAGGAGAAAAGGCAGGCGAAGCAAGCAGGTCGCCCACGCTGCGCGGCACAAACGGCATCCAGAAATGAAAGGAACTAGTAGGTGATTCGAAGGTATGTCCCAGTACTTCAATAATCTATCCGGGAGTGATTATAAGACTGGCGCAGAATTATAAAAGCCGACACCACGCACATTGATATGGGAGATACTGCGGAGAATTCTCAGCTCTTTCTGAATGTCATGGGGCTGCTTGGAGAACACTGGCTGTGTAGAGCCAGTTTTTATTGCGATGTATTGAGCATTCCCTTTTGCACGTTGATCTCTAGACTGCGCTCGAGTGATGTAGGATACAGGGCTTTCCTCTATGGTCTCGAATGTGTCCTTCACGATGATGCATTAGCATCATCCTCGAAAAGGAACATTAAAAACGCAGCGTACGATGTCGAATACAGTCTGCAAGCTGCAGTTCTCCATATACATACGTAGAGTTGGCAAGTTGAGCGCATCTTGCAGTACTACCGTGACTCCCGCGAGTTGAAACCCCGGATTTGAAGCGAAAAAGACTTTGATTGCCAAAAAAGGATTAGCGCTCGGAAGCTGACGTCAGTGATACAAGCGCTCAGAGGACAGCGGTGAGTCTCATACAACGATCATGTCTGGAGAGGAGCTTCCGAGCACCGATATTATCACCCTCACTCGGTACTTTCACCATCATTTTCTCAAATGAGAGTGAGCTTATAATCCACATGTATTTCTAGCCATGTTTTGAGCGATCAGTTCCGTGCTGGGGCTGTAGCGACAGGCGATCTCACACTTTTACTCACAGCTATCCAGACGACATCGAAATTCATCGCGACTAATGTACGAAAGGCGCGCCTCATCAATCTGTGACTTTTTAAGAACTTCTTGCACCAAATTCGTACTCAAGCACGTCTCAGCGTTGGTTTAGCAGGTGAAACCAACGTCCAAGGCGAGGAGCAGAAGAAGCTCGATGTCCTCTCCAACGACATCATGATCAATTCACTCCGTGCATCTGGGAAGACGGCGGTTCTCGTCTCTGAGGAGCTTGAGGAGGCTGTTATTATTGAGGACAAGTACAAGGGGAACTACTGCGTTGTGTTCGATCCTTTGGACGGCAGCAGCAACATTGATGCTGGCGTTAATATTGGGACTATTTTTGGAATTTACCGCATCGTGAGTTATCAATTTACCTTTTAAGATACATTATATGACATATGGAGCAGAAGCCTGGGTCGAAAGGGACCATCGAGGACGTACTTAGACCAGGAAGTGAAATGGTTGCGGCCGGTTACACGATGTTGGTACCAGTCTTCACGCAAGTTTCATCCAGTCTCATCTAATATTCAATAGGTATGGGTCCTCAGCAAATTTAGTGCTCACTACTGGCAATGGTGTCAACGGCTATACGCTTGACGCGGCTCTTGGAGAATTCATATTAACTCACCCAGATGTGTGCCAATTTACTCTGTTGACTTATTTTTCCTCGGAATCTCTAATTTTATAATTCCTTTTTGTTTAGATTAGGATTCCTCCGCGCGGAAAAATCTACTCCTTCAACGAGGGAAACGCAATGTACTTCCACCCCCCGGTCGTCAATTATTTGAACAGTCTCAAATTTCCACCATCGGGTAAGTCGCCTTATAGCGCAAGATATATCGGATCCATGGTCGCGGACGTGCATCGCACGCTACTCTATGGTGGAATCTTTGGCTACCCTGATGACAAGAAGTCAAAGAGCGGGAAGCTGCGTCTGCTGTATGAGGCATTCCCTATGGCCTTCTTGACTGAGCAGGTACGCCCTACTCTATCAAGGACCAGATCAATATGTGACCTACTTTAATAGGCTGGAGGACTCGCCACCACGGGTACAAAGCGCATCCTTGACATTGTCCCGACCAGTATTCACCAACGGTGCCCTGTGTTCCTGGGAAGCAGGGACGATGTGCAAGATGTTCTCAAATTCTACAAGGGAGGTGGCGGAGCCTGAGAGACAAATAGGTGGAACGTAATAAGAGAAGGACAATTTAGTTGTGTTAATATGTAGAACAAATTTGCAGCGCAGAATTATTCCTCAAGAGGCTATGATTATGTGACAGCTCTGTAGAGCTTCATGACATTGCGATCAGCAGAATGGGAAGTCCTCCTATGAACGTGGCCTCTGGATTCGTTAGAGTGAGCTGCATAATGTGCACCCTTGTCTCTCAAATTCAGACATTGAGAGTTACACGATACACACTCAGAATCGAGAGCAGTAGGAGATTTCGACATAACGGCACTACAAAGTACCGTGCGACGTTGCCTAACGAACAAGATGTACAACCTGAGATCACCAGGGATTCTTCTATAGAACATGAATTTCCGAGAAGAGCATGTTTCGGAAAGATGTCTTAGGAACCTGAGCATTATTAGTAGACGGCTCCTGCCATGGCGGACGAACGATCCACAACCATACACGCGCAAACATCAATGGGGCTGGTGTTGATTGCCTCTTATGGCGGTGGCGGCTTAACCCAAGCTCGATTCAACCGTCATCCACCTCTCCATTCTCTCTTTGTGAAAGGGTCTTTCCTTCAACCTATATGTAATTTATATCTACTATGTTGCGAGTGGCTATCAAGAACACTCGTCGATTTGTAAACATTATCGTCAAACCGCGACCCGTATGTTCCTTTTCGCATTCGACTTTCCCCGGCGCGTCAGTGACAAGGCGTTCGTATTGGCAGGGGCCTAAATTCCCCGAATCTGCTCGTGAATTATGCTGTCATTACAGGTCAAGTGAGTACTCTCCTAGTTACATCAAAATATATCCTAGAGGCTACATCACAACAGACATGGTATTTAACGGACAAAACTGTAAGTTTCCGATTAGCACAAGCAGGTACAGGGTATCTCTATGATGGTTACAGGCGGATTTGAAAGAAATAGACAAAGGTCTAATTCTGTCGACTCTGGCCAGGCGAGTCATTCCAGGCCTCATTTTGGACATCGTGTGAATCCTCTATTCCAGTCTTGGGTTCGATTGATTCCGCGGGGAACCAGGCCGGTACGTCTCACTGAGTAATATCTTGTGACATGTAAACATGATATATCACAATGTGTCAGCCTGCGCCTATCTTCGATAGGGTGTTCAGCATGGAGGGTATTTCGCATGAGGTACTTGACATTTGATTTTATGGGATATGCTGTTGACCACATGCCAGTCCAATCCCAATCCTCCAGCAGGATGTGGAGCTTCGAGGACCTATCAGGTGATGACGACTGTCTTGTGTCTCCTCACCAATGTGGTATTGATTTCATAAATAGAACGAATGTATTCGGGAGACATCGAATGTAGCTGAGAAGGTAGTGTTGTTATCGTCACCGATCTGCAGTTGCTCACACAAGCCTCGACGTCATCTGCAGCATCAATATACCGGTCAGCCCTGCGTCCTACCAAGACCCCGATTACGAAGGACCAGAAGGATTGTGTCATCCCCTGCCAATCTGCCAGGTTATAGACGCGCCTCTCTGCCTATGGAGATGATGGACGTTTCCCAGCGGCGTTATGTATCCGACCGATATGACGGCTTCCGAACTCAAGATCCGGTACGTATCGCGCTCATCTGTTCATCTACGTTTAGTAAAACCTTGCTTCGCTGCAGGTTCCATCGGACACAGACGATAGTAGCAATGAATCTTCTGTTTATGTTACTGCCCGTTCAGAGGTCACTGAACCAACACAGTTGGAAGATGTTCAAGCAATTCTTCAGGTATTAGATACTGAATCGGGGGCTGTTTTCAGTAAAATCATCCAGGTGAGTCCTGCGATGTGTGACATCTCAGTACTTTGAGATAGTATTCTCTAGGGGTCTGGTGACGAGATCCCGGCTAGCCAACTACGTCCAGAGGTGCTTAGCTGTCATGCAAATAATGTTCTGTGTCAAGTGACACCTACAGGACACAACGCAGAGGATCGACATCTCAATTCCGGCGCGCTTATGCCACCACTTCCCTCTCTTATGCTCACGATTCCCACGCCTCAACTACCTCCATCTCCGTTCTTCGTTCCTCGTTCGCCGATTACCATCTCCAAATTTGTTATGGCTTCCTCCAGTCCGGCTAGTCCCTTCTTATCCGCAGGACCCGTCCCCTCCATCCCAATCTGCGAAGACTGCTGTCTCATAAACTCAGAGAGCGGCCAACATTGTCGGTCATGCGACAAACAATGGCTGGCGTGTAAAGTGTGGTATCAGGCAAATGATGGAGGGCGTAGGCAGCAGCTGACGGAGCCGTATATCAAACCTGCAGAAAGCACGTTGGCAAACAGGGCGTTGGTTGACTTGATCAACGTCCCTAGTGGTCCCGCAAATTTCTACGGACTGGGAATCCGCACCTCACCTGGGGCTGCTGTTAGCAAGAGCCGTTTCCGCAAACTTGCGCCGCTGCTCGCACTGATCACTATGGACTCATCAACCTCTGTAGGGCGTAACGAGGAACTTCTGGCTACCCGCGCTCGCCCACAACCAATACTTGGGACTAGATTACCTTTAGTTGCTACTTTCGTTTCGGACCTATGGGCGAAGACTGTGAATACTCTTACTGAGTGCATCGACCGTCTGGACCTGGCTGGCTTTTTGGATGTCTTGCTGCGGAGTCTCCGACCTCCGGTCTCCACAAGCCGCTCGTCTTTATATATAACTACACAAGACGGCCTCATGGGCGACCCGCGACTGCGTGAACATCGTATTTCAAGACCGCTGGGCATTACGTCCGCTTCAAGGTTTTTGGAGCATCTCGCTTGAGATCTAGCTCATGCACTGGGCGTCCGATCCTCCGAAGGTTCTCTGACTACGCTCCAGTAGCTATCCGTGGTTTTGTAATTCTCATATCCGTGTAATTCTGTAATGGTAATTTTCATGTACGCTCCCACATATGACGCCCCGTGGTATTTTCGTATCATCAACCTAGTAGATTCCCAGCGAACGATCGCTGAGGTTTTCAGTCGTCGGGCGTCAGTGGAGCTGGAACGGAGTACACTCTGCCAGCGTCGGCCGTAGCTAGCTTCTGATTTTCTCGACTTGATTTGCTCTCAGAGGTAATGACAATAGTCAGATGTGCCGTTGCAACCAGCACCAGGCCCCTCACGATGTTTGTTTTGGAGACAACGTCGCGCCTGAATTTTGACACGGAAGAAGAGGCGGGTGGAGTTCATTGTCAAGTTTCGGAACAGGCCGCCGCGTGACTGGGCTCAGGAGAGCACGCTGCACCAGTGTCTCGTTCTCTCATCCGTTGCATTGGTTCGAGATACATATTTGGGACCGGTCCTAATGCCACGGTTCTCCTCGTTCTCAATCACGACGCCCCCCGGTTCTTGCACTCATGTCCAGCGCAGCGAGCCCACCGACCAGTCCCGGCGCTCAAGATGACTGCAAATCTGGTCATGTCGCGGTATTTTGGTCAAAGCTGCGGGCGATTGCGTCAGTCGTACTAAACCATGCTATGAAACACACTGGAGTGGGTATTATATGTTCTGTAGCGTATTTTGACCCGTAAGCATCATCGTCAATTTTATCGCATTTTCATTCTTAAAGCGTTTTTACAGGGGCAATTGGGGAGTGGACCTACAAGCAGGATCGGAGTTCGGGTATAAGCTGCTATTCGTGATCCTCCTATCCGGCTTGATTGCAGTGTACATGCAGGTTGGTTTCCTTAGAGTTTGTGACATGTTCCCTAAGTCACAGGTCTCCATGCGTTGACTAGGTGCTCTCCTCGCGCTTAGGATGTGTTACGGGACTAGGTACATTGGTTGAACTGTCGAACAGGTGTGCATTACTGACTCTTTGTTTCTGGCAGATCTTGCTTCACACTGCCGACTTCTCCTGCACGATCGTCCTAAAAACACGCTTCTTTGGCGATGGCTGGTACTGTATCCTCTGTATGTCCTGGCAGAGATTGCTATCGTAGCTACCGATCTTGCCGAGCTTCTGGGTTCTGCTATTGCCATCTGTCTCTTGTTTCCTAAAGTACCACTATGGGCAGGTGTGCTCTTGACCGCGTCCGATGTCCTCATCTTGCTGGCAGTTCGGAATCCTCTCGGTGGGAAGCCGGTAAGGTTATTCGAGATTCTCATAGCTGCTTTAGTGCGTTTGGATCAATTCGTAGTGTAGCATCGGCTCACCCTTTACAGGTCTTCACGGTGCTCGTATGCATGGCTGTGATCATTTCCAAAGCCAATGTAGATTGGAGAACCGCCTTCGACGGATTTGTGCCTTCCAAAGTCCTGGTCACTTCGGAGGGTTTATACAATTGTTCGTGTATTCCCATCGTCGTCACAATATCAGATCTGATCACGTACCTTCCTGTATTAGCCATTGGTATCCTTGGGGCTACTGTCATGCCCCACTCCCTTTTTCTTGGCTCAGCCTTCGCGACACAAGAACGAGAAAAGCCTACAGACGATCTAGACATCGGTTCAGCGCTTGCCAAACTGGAAGCCAAAGATTCTGATAACGACAGCTTCGATCTGCCATCCGAACCTCAAACCCTATCGAAGCGGTGGAGCCCACAGGCCATCTCCAGAAGCACACTCCGGTTTCTGCGCGGCTGTTTCTCCGTCACATCTATTGAGGAATACGCAGATGAACCGAAGAGACACACCGAAAGGGAGAACAATTCGTTCGCGTTTGTGCGCACGCACCTCTCGCATGGTATCATCGACATGTGCATCAGTCTCCTCGGGATTGCGGTCGTGATTAACGCTTTGTGGGTTTACCCTTCCATCTTGTATATGGACATCAACCATGACTGAGCAGATACCTCCTGTCAGGATCTTGATGCTTGCAAGTGCGGAGTTTTACTACGGATTCGGACAGACAGGGAATCAATCCCCCGCAACTCTCTTCGACGCATATTACTTGCTGCAAGATCTGCTTGGAAAGCGTGGGCGCTGTCTTAGCACTTACGGATTGGATATATGCCTGACATTTTGTAATCCATCAGCTGCTGCAGTCCTGTTTGCCCTCGCACTATTGGCTGCCGGTCAGAGCTCCTCCATCGTCGCCACGCTAGCTGGCCAGACAGTTTCCGAAGGTTTCATTCGCTGGAGAATTTCAGTGAGCTCGTCTGTATTTGTATCTTGGCAGTTTCTCAACGCTGAACCTTCCTGCCAGCCTATCCTTCGGCGGCTTCTGACTCGATGTATCGGGCTGGTACCCTCCATGGCAGTTGCAGCAGCTCTCGGACGCAGTGGAATCAGCTCGCTCCTCATCATATCTCAAGTTATTTTATCTATTGTCCTCCCCTTCGTCGTCTTTCCGCTTATATACATTACCTCCTCCAAGCGCTTCATGAGCGTGAAGAAACTTTCAAGACAGCAACAACCTGCACAAATGAATGATCGACATGACGCACCGCGCGCAGTGAACGACGACGAAGCCGCGTCTGCCGCCATAGCGGAGATTACGATTGTAGACGTAGAAGTGGTGGAAGAGTTGGTGGACTTTTCTAATGGCAAGCTTATGACCATTTTGGGATGGGTCATCTGGATAGTAATAGTAGTTGCCAACGTATATGCAATTGTGACATTAGCGATGGGTGAAAATTAGGCGGCGGGGAATAATGTAGTCAGCGAATATATTGTACACGACCCGGACATTTCGCTTAGTACTAGAGGAACGTCACTAGTTATAATACATTTTAGGATGCAACGTGTCAATGAAGCAAGTATACCATGAAGAGCGCGAACAAAGACATGAGTATAAGTTATGCCGTTAGAGTGTTGCGTTCAAGTGAGTTTCTCAAGTGGGGAGATGATAGTGCCGGGCTGAAAGAATCGACGTCAGCCACAACGAGGACCGGCGGCTTGGTGTTACTCACCTTCGTGACAACCCTCGGTAAAGTCGCCCGCTGGAATCCTACACGCGTATTCCACTCAGTGCCCAGTGGCGCCGCGAGACTACGCTCGAACTGCGCTTTGGAGGTGTATGGGAAGGGTAAGTCTTTGACAAGGTACTTTGCGGCTTTCTTGTCACGCTTCTCGGAGATGATAACGTGCGGTTTCTTGTAGTCGGCACGGCTAGAAGGGTCTATGCCAGCGATCTTCTTAATAAGGTGAGGTTTTGGCGGAGCTTTCTTAGCGCCTTTGCCTCCCCACGATCCCTGCGGCGCACATAGTCAGGAATGACATAGCCAAAGTAGTGACTCAAGAAACATACCCATCCAGGTAGAGTAGTATCCACTTCGTGGGGTGCGTCCTCCTTCATTTCGCGACGTTTCTGCTCAGCGAACTCCTGAGAAAATTGATCAGCCATTACTACAGCAGCGAAAAGAATGGGATTATACCTGAACAACATTGTCGCCTGCAAATGCAAGCGCAACGAGGTCTCGTTGCTCAAAAGCTTGGACACCATTCGCTTTGCCCTTGCCTTTACCCTTGCCCTTGCTCTGAGCAAGAAGCATTTCCTGCTCATCGACCTCGCTATTGGCATCGGAGTCGCTGCCACCATGTTCTCGATTTTTTCTTGATGATTGAGGTATCTGATCAGTGATTGAAGCGGATTGGCTATGCTTTGGAGAAGGACGCGCGGACTTGTGGCTGCTTTCATCCAGAGTCAAGACGTTGGTCATTACAATGTCCACGGCAGCATCTTCTTGGGCCTTCTCCTTTTCCTCTACCAGATTCATTTGTCGTTTCCACAACCTGTTTTTTGATTTCTCCGCACTAGCACTGCTCTTGCTGATCGCAATTTCATGCTTTTTCTGGAGAGGCCTATCTGCGCCGTCCGCTCGAACAAGCCATGGGTTGACAACTTCCGGTGGGGAAAGAGGTGATGAACGCTCAGCTACGGGAGACGTCATCAGCGAATCCGGTTGCCCGGAACCGACAAGGTCAGTAGATTTCAGAGTAACACTGGAGGTGTCGGATTCAAATGACCTCCCTGGTCGGGGTGCGGAGATCTGATATAACATGTCAGCTTAAGTCGGCCGGAGGAACAATACTTTGCTAACCACAGGAGCACCCGGGCGATATGTGACACGACCACCAGTGCGCTGGACCGCTGTTCCGTACGGTCGCTCCTCACCAGTCGCCAACACCTCACCCTCAACATCTTCATCAGGAACTGGGCCGCCCATCTCTTTGACGAAATCATCGACTATCTCGTCGACCTTCCGCTGTTCTCGAGTCATTGCATTCTTCATGAACTTCATCTCAAATATGCTCTTGCCCGTATTCCTGCCCACTACATCACCTGCATTCATACCGTCATTGAGACTTGCAAGCTCTTCAAACGCGCTCGTCTTGATCTGCTGGATTGCATCTTCTCCAGATTCTCCATCGTCGCTCTCCTCATCACTCTCTTCATCTCCACTCTCCTTGTCTCCTCTAATTTTTCTTCGCAGCTTCTCGCCCCTCTCCAACATCTCGGAGATCTCTCTACGCTGATCTTGATCCAATTCCCCTCTTCCCTTCATCGCTTTTGCCCACTTCCCGGTGTTCTTGTGCCTCAACGTGGCTCTCTCCCTCGCCCGTTCTGTCTCCCTTCGCATCCGTACATTCTCGTCTTCTTCATCCTCGTCTTCCTCACCTTCACCCAACTTCGCTGCTAGTCGTCCACGTTCTTTCTTTTTCATGCGACGATATGTTTTGCTCTTGATCTTTGCAACCCGTTTCGCCTTCGCTTCAGCTCGGAACATTAAATCGCGCATCTTGGCAAGTTCTGCTCGACGCGTTGCAACCTCTTCCACGGAAAGATGGTTCATCTTAAGCGACTCGGTTTGAGCAATGTCGTCATCGCGCAGCTTGGCCGATTTGAGTAGTCTGTCAACCGCGCTCTCCAACTCAGTGGTTGGCTGTGAAGTACGGCGTCGGATAATGTAATCAGAAATGACTAGCAATATACTTACCTTGAATTTCGCAGCAAGCTCCAAGTTCGAAGTCTTCCCTGTGGGTTGAGCTTGGAGCGGAAAACTAAGATGCTCGGCCTGTTATCCGAAATTAATTGTGAATCTCGCGTTACATCATGTACTGAAGCAGGAGATGAACCTCTTTAATGCGCTGCATGGTAGCTTTCCACTTGTCCACTTCTTCTTTTGTCTGTTCGTAGGCAGCCTCACGATCCAGCCGCTCAGCTACTCGCTGCGGCAGCGGTGCGGTCAAAGTTTTGTTACCCCCAGACTGCGACACAAGGAGCTTGGCCGATTTTCTGAGTGATGCCAGATTCGACGACTGTGATGTAAGTGGAGCAAGCAGGTCCTCGAGCTTAAGCTTCCCGCTTCCTACAGTAGATATGAGGGGCTTTTAGCGAGAAGACTCAGACATTGAGACGTACCGAGATGAGCAGCAAACTCATTCTCTTCTCCCGCCTCCGTCTTCTCCTTGAGTAGTCGCCTCTTCCTTTCCCTCTGGCCGTCTCCGTCTCCTTCAGTCCCCCGCTCATCATCATTTCCGTCTGGCATTTTTCGCTTCTGCCCTGCGTCCAACCCAGTGACAAAACGCTCAAGCTCCTGCAACGCTGCCGAGTCCTCTCCATCTTCCTCCAAAGCAGACACTTGGTCTTCAGCATCAGAACCATCTTCCTCGTCCGACTCATCCTCGCTCGGCTCCTCGTCATCTGATCCCTCTCCTCCTAACGCTTCTTGTTCCAATGCCTCGTTATCCGACCCATCATTGCTTGATGCTTCGTCGCTGTCGATTTCTTCATCCTCGTCTTCTCCGATCTGCTCACTGTCCTCACCCTCGCCCACAAGTCTGGGCTTAGCGCGTTGCTTCCCACTGTATCCCATGTCATCGTTTTCACTCCCACTATCATCTCGCCCGGCACCGATTAGCTCATCCCTCCCATATTGAAGCTTCACCTTTCCACGTCTAACTTTCTCCTGCTGATGTTCATATATGTTGGCTATGGCCGCCTCCGTGGGTGTTTTCGACTGGCGCGACTGGCGTTTCGCGTATCCAGCTACATTTGCCGCCTTGGTATTGCGCTGGACCTTATGCGACGGCTTGACAGACTTTTGTGGCCTTTGAGCGCGGCCCATGTGTTAAAATGCAAATAGCCAACCCAGTGGTCAGTAACAGGAAAGTGTACAGGTGATCTGAGTGTAGGACGTTAGGTATTGCCGCCACTGCTTTCCGCGATCAAGCCGATCACACGATGCAGATTGCAAATTAGTGTTTGATACTTGATCTCATTACTCAAATTATTGGATTAGCAGTATCGCAGCAACGCATTCCAACAACAAAATAGACGGTGGCGAGGGGAGAAATGCAGAGTCATGATTGCATACGATCGTGTACATGTAAAGTAATCTTCCCTATGGCATACTCCTGACCAGCGTACACAATGGGGAACCAGTCCAATACAAGGCGCAAACCACTACTTCAGCTTCTTCTTACTAGAAGTGAGAAGGAGGATTAGTTCATTCTGCATAGTTTTCAGCAAATAAGTCAGCTTACGGCCGAAGCTGTGAAGAGTGGCCGCATCCCCGCTTCCGGCAATTCGTCGCACGGGGCGGCAGACGGGCGTAACACTTGCGGCAAATCTGCTTGTCGCAGTTATACTTTGAGGCCAACACTTTGAGTGAGGGCTCAATGATGCCTCCACGGAGACTGTCACCAAGTGAGGACACAGTATAAGCGAAGTGAGGATGTCCTAACGCACCGAAGAACCAAGTGTAGCGTCGACTCCTTCTGAATATTGTAGTCGCTGAGGGTGCGACCATCCTCAAGCTGCTTTCCAGCAAAGATCAATCGTTGCTGGTCTGGGGGGATACTAGAAGCGAATTCTTCAGCTTAAGACCACCCTAGCTTTATACATACACAACTCACCCCTCCTTGTCCTGAATTTTGGCTTTCACATTGTCGATGGTGTCGGAAGACTCCACCTCTAGCGTGATAGTCTTCCCTGTAAGGGTCTTTACGAAGATCTGCATCTTCAAGCACTTGCTAGCCTGAGCTATTCGAGAGGAAGGGATCACTGACACTTACGAGGAAGCCTGGGAACTAACTGTATAGCTGACGAGAATGTGGCTGAGATTAGGGCCGGTCGATGCGGTATCACATGACTCGACTCGTTCTTCAAATCGGAAAAGCGCTCGTTCTCTTTTCGCGTGGCAGTGACTCTCGCACCTTACTGTAAATCAGTTGTCTAATGACTTTCTCTTCGATGCTACACATCGTGCTCATACTTCTGAGATAATTCGTGACGTTGTGTCTTGTAACCTCTGCCTGTCTCAGCAGAATTCATGCTTCAACCCTGGCTTCTTGGCTGTCGGATTGGTTGACAAGTTAAATTTCTGACGAAATATGCCTATTGTAGCATGAAGATACACACTTGACTGGTATGTTTCAAGACACCGATTAGAATTGTTAAGGTGAGTGTTGAATTCCCTGCCCTTGTCTGAATGTTGCTCGTTATTTGATGAGAAAATTTCGTTAACTCAGCTCACTTCGAACCTTCGGGTTGTGAGAAGGATACGATACCTTACCTGATTCTCATTCAAATACGATCGAAGAATTATTGGCTCACCACAAACTCGAACAGATGTATTCGATTCATTCTTGTGTGAAAGTGTTTAACACGTGCCATTTATCGAGTATCGCCTGCTGCCACCTTAATTGAGACGTGAATCGGTGAGTGTTTCATGGGATTGTATCAATGGGATGTAAACATTCTGCAAATCCTCGACGTGCTGTGCACTGTGGGCGTGATTCCTTCTGGAACCATTCAAGTCTCTGATTCACTTTATCCGTTACTGCAACCATGGTACTCACCCTTTCTGCAGACGTGTTCAAGCCCATCATCACAGCCATCCCCAATTGCAGCAGAAATTTAGGTATGATTCCTATCCGCTGTTGATGTCTCTTCTGTGATGTGTGGGCGCATCTTGATGTTATGCTGGTATTATACATGTATTTCAGACAAATTGTGAATAGAACGTATCTGTGTCTTTGCTCCTTATGAACCAGAACAGTCATGTCTGAGTGGTTGATAGTCCTGCGTGCTTTGTAGTGGTTGCTCATGCCATCTATAGGTCTATGTCAAAGATATCCGTCATAACCACTTAGCCGTTGTGCGACAACTTGACGGTGACATGTTGATCGCCAGGATGGATCGCTACTGACTAGATGAAATGACGGCCGTCAGGCAACCAAGACTATCAACTTGGACAAGTTCGTACACTGTCTGTCCGAGCTGACATTGGTTCTGAGTCTGTCATAGTTCCAAACATCATCTGAGAACCAACCTGACCGTGACCACGGACCACAGAGCGCAAGTAACACCCTATCCAACATATAAAAAATACGGCGGCGAGACTTCTCCGCAAACTGTGCGATGACTTTCGAAGTGACAGTCCATTTAGATACTATACACTTCAGTCCGCATGCGTCTCGGCCTGGATGTTAGAGCCGACGTGTGGAAAGGTCCAATGAGCCAAAGGTAAGTGACCCATCCTAAATGTTAGAATCTCCTCTGTCAATCTGCCCGTGAATAGACACGACACCTATTAGTAGATGGATCAAGAGTTACAATCATGTCGACCGACGATAACTTATGTGCAACATTTAGAAGGGATTCAGACAATTCTCTGTGTTGATGCAACCGGAGAATGCCTAATAGACTGGCACATCACTTGCAACCTCCGCTGCACAATATTGTACATTCTCATGAACGTGTGCGCGAATATCGCAACTCATCGCTCACATGTTCAAAGCTTCCTGAAAGCTAACTTGTCGCAGGCATGTTACCGGGTCTTCTGACCCATCTTCTCGGCATTCATTACCGCAACTCTGTAGCTGCCTCGTTGACTATGGGAGGCTTGCAGCACGTCCATGCTCAGTGACCATGGGACCATCGGTGACCTGTCACTCTGGATTGATACGATGAGTGAATGCATCCTCTCACATCCGTTCCATATGGGTATTTTCCCCAAGATTATCCAAGATCCTTCTTGTCCAACGCTGCTGTGAGCATCGATCGTTCAGCTCTTGATAGCACGGTATTCTGCGAGACCCGGCCGGAAGATCGTAAAGGTGCGCATATCATGGCATAGATTTATCGGTGGCATTTGGACGCGACATATTTGTACGTGACAGCTCAACAGATTCTGGCGGAGCTCTCTCCCCGCACGGTTCTAACATGACTACCAGGCTTAGTAGTTTTGCACAAGCGAAGACGTGTCATATGGTCGGTCCAATTACACTATCTTTCACCATCGTTGTACTGTTAACCATTGCCAAACCTTTACCCATGTTCTTCGGTTCCAACTGGAATATATCAGCATCTCGGTCGACCAGGCCTTTTGTGCAAGCCTCACACTTGACTGTTTCATCCCAAGGGACTTTGTCACGCTACTTATAGGCGCTGCGGGACATTATAAGCTAGAATGTAAATACAGAGAACGCAACGCCTTCCCATTCCAAAGCCCACGCGATAGAAATCAAGTTACTTCCGGTCCGGCAAGGGCATATAGTTAGCTTCGTCAGCTATACTCCAGTAGAACAATTGGCTCGTTCGCTTCCAGAGTCCTTCTCTAGTTCTTGTTCTCATAAATTAAATAACTGAACGGCCAAACTAGACGACAGCGTAATTTTCTACTTGGACTATAGCATCTTCCGAGAAAACCGTCTCTTCTCCATTATCGACCCGCGTGACAGAGGACACGCGCACACCAGCGATGCTGCCTTCGCTTACAAACTGTACTTTGACAGGGAAGAATGCGCCAGGGTCGTCTCCTCCAACGGCAAATTCCAACGAACCGGAGCGGTCTTCAGCATTTACTAATGGAATCGACCAATCGAGTGAATGGCTGGAAGGATTGAGGGCCCATTCACCCGTGTGGGACGAAACGGTCGGATAAGAACCGTCGCTGCAAAAAGTCAGTGATCAAGGGAGACGCAAGGCACACTGATAGACTTACGGAAGCGGTATGGAAATTAGTACATCGTGGAGAGAAAGACCCTCATTTTCCAGTTCATACTCAATGTTCACGTCACATGTCCCATCATTGGAAGGGGTAGGCCAACAATTGACTGGCAAAACGGTTAGTCGTATCAAGATCTCAAGGTTTACCTTATTTGCTTACTGGAAAGAGGTACAAAGGTCTCGTCCCTCCCGACATATCGCCATTTGAGCACAGCTAGTGCCTGGCCAACAGGGAAACTTCGGGACGCATCCTTCAAGGCAACTACGCGATCACGATTCGCCACAAATTTGCCCACGTTGGGGTGCTGTTTAAACTGCAATTCTGGACCGAACGTGACAGCAGCCGGTGCGATGGAAAGTTTGATACGAGCCAATGCAGGATCGGAAATGTGGAGGTTCATGTCGCCCTTCAACTCCAAGTTGTTTAGTCCACCATCACGGACCATCTCTACGCTCAGTGTTTCGCGCACAATAACATGAACACTACATAGTCGATGGTTAGATTGCCTTTTAAGGATCTGTCCGAAGTCTTACCTCTCGGGGTCAATGGGGGGCAGGCTACCTCTCTCATTTTTGGGCGCGGAGACAGGAGGCTCGATTTCATTCGAGACAGCTGGAGATCCCGGAGTCGACATATCTTCCGACAGTAAGGCCTCTCCCCCAAGTGCATCGAGCAGTTCTGCTTGTCGCGTCTTCTTGCTTCCCAGCTTCATACCACTGCCTTTGAATGCAGGGGCGCGCAAGGATGATGGAGCCGGAGAGGCGGTACGTACGGGTGCCGGGGTGGTGTCGTATCGTTGCGGGATAGGGGAGTAGCCTGTAACGCCTCCACCCAGATAACTACCCCCAGAAGGACCACCAGCAGCAGCGCGCCGTTGTTGTTCTCGCCGCTGCATCTCGAGCTGTTTGGCACGACGCTTGAGTTCTTCCTTGGCCTCGGCCTCCTTATTCTAAACACACAGTCGCGTTAATACCCAGGAGCGTTGGTAAATGCGTAATCCATACCCTGGCAATGATCTCCTGGATCTTCTCTTCATGACTCTCCATCTCCAGGATATTCCTGACTTGCATGAGGTTGACTTGTTCTCTATACCCCAAGCTCACAATCTCGTCAAATGCACCCAAGAGCTCAAATGCGCTCTTCGCTATCTCTCTTTGATCTGCGCTCCTACATAAATCTGAGACTACGCGTGCAAAGAGGTGCAGCGTTTCGATATCTTGCAGTATGTTTGAAGATTTGTTGGTTATGAGAAGAATGTACAGGTCCTCCAGTGGCTGATAAACATAGCGGACGTCTTCGGTCTCCACCGATGTATGCTGCGTCCCGGTTGGTATCAACTTTGGGAAGGAGGCTAGGAGCGAATCGATCCGAGACCTGCTCATGTCACGGAACTGTCGCGAAATGACCGCTGTGCACTCCCAACTTAAAAGACAAACAAGTGGAACATATATATACACGCACCCTTTCCGCCTTTCGTACATATTGATGCTGCGAGAACAACCTAGTCCACGACAGCTCAGAACGTGATATCCGTGAAGTACAGTAATCAGACTTGCCATGCTGCCCAAACTATCGAAGGTGTAGCGCAACTGCAGTTGCTGCAAGGAGAACAGTTCGGGAGCAGTAGAAAACTACTTGGCTCGCTCTGAAATGCGACGTGTCGCAAACGCCGCTCACATAAGCGCCCGTATGACCATACCATACCACACTAGTAACCATCTTGCAGTCAGGCCTACTTTACGTGAAGTAATACACTACTTTATTCACTTGGATGCTATCCTGACTGCTCACTCGGCTAAGGAGCGCAACGTTTTGAACATAAGTAGAAGTAGGTGTTTATATGCGAGCCAAGACGTAGGGTTGGAAGAGTGGAAATATGACGCGTCTAGCCAGGCTCACAGACTCCGGAATGAGAATCGCATCAGACATTCCTCTGCTTACCCACACATCCGCTAAAACGGGGTCAGCGAGAGATGCAAGCAAGAGCGAGCAAGACGCTTACTGCAGCTTTGCCCCAGTCCCAATATAACAAGTGCGATCCATACCCATCCGATGACGCCCCCGACCCGTCTGCCAGTGACGTTCTTCCAGACATGCTCGAGTAGAATACCCACACCTTGAAGCGTGAAAAATACGACAATCCAAGTATTGAGTATTGGCAATCCTACGATATGGAAAATGCCAGATGCAAAACAAGTTCCAATGACCATTCCAGCTTTGCCAGCTAGCCAATAACCGGGATATCCTCCTAAAGAAAGGAACGTGTGCCGAAGGAGTTGGTGCCATCCTTTCCCCCAAAATCTTGAAAGGGACGTGCATCTCCAGGGACTGTCGAAGAGTGGATACCATATAGTTGGTGACCGACCCAGTAAGCCGACCTTTACTAACGCAATTATGTCGTTCCATGACTCTAAGCCGCATATTATAGCAGTTCCAACCATGATGTGAATGGCCGTAGACAAGGTGTAACGTGCGTAGCCAGGAAGTTCAGCAACGAATATGGAGTTGCCTTCGGAATCCCCAATTTTAGGTAGCCGCTTCACAAGAGACTCGCATAAGTCGAGGATTACGAAATTCTTGATGAATGAAAAGATGGTGGCTATTAGAAATGGACCTCGATTTAGCGACCTGGTCCTCTGAGGTAGATGAACATGGCGGCCGAAGTCCCAGCCAATTCCCCGGACCAACATGCTAACTTCAATGGCATCCGCTAACCAAGGGGGAAAAATAGAGCTAGAAGCTGGGGGCATATTGGGATCGTTTACCCGAGGGAGGGTTTTCTCCCCGACCTTAAAGCGACCATGAGTTGAGAACCCGAAGTTGAGAGATTTCCCTATAATGTGCCAAGCAATCAATGCTTGCAAAGGAAGCGGCGTTAGTATTCTCTATTAAACACCAGAGGACCTCGCACTCACTTCTGATCCATTCACCGACACAGTATCGCCGGTCTTCGACCCTATACCGATAGGTACAACATAAGATGCTTGTGATGACTACCGGCAATAAAAGCAGGCGAATCAGGCGCGTGTTGGCCCTTCGAACAAGATATGCCAAGAAAAGGTAGGGAATAAAATACGCGAATGCTTGCGGCACTTTATTCCATTTCATCGGCTCACGGTCTTCAGGTAGAGGCACAAGCTTTTGGAGAGCTAGCCACATCCCCACAGAGATTCTGTGGTACAGTTAGACGTCAGACATTCGCATCATGAAGAGCATCGAGGGTAATCATTGTAGTTTTCACTCACTCTTCCCAAAATAAGGTCTTTTGTGCCATAGTATATCGATTTCACGCTGGAAATCTGAGCAAGGACTGTGCTGCAGAGAAACACTGAAGGCACTCGTCCAGGACAGGGATAGTACAACCTCTTGTAAACGTAGCACAATATGTCAACGAGTGCCAGCAGGGCGAAGTAGGAAGACGATAGTGCACAGGTATTGTAGCCTGAGACTGTAAGTGAAGCGAACTATTGCGATTCAAACCCGGATCTGTTTCGAAACGAGCATCATACATGTTGTGCATGAGGAATCGAGATTAACTGAACAGGCTGTACGAGTCCAGACGCGCCGCGATTGAAGGAGATGTCATGATTCAACCAAGGTAGCGCTCACTTTTAAGTTTTTGAGTAGGGCTTGCGGTCGTTTGGCATGTGATTTCTGTCATGACATGACTTGAACGAACCTCGTATACTGCCGCGTTCAAGTTAATGGTAACAGCCACGATTCAGATGAACTGTACGATGCCAACTCGGGAGCCGGCGCCTGTACAGCGCTTAGTGACTTAACTTTCGACACCGAATGTGTTCAGACAACGATTGAACGATGCAGCGCAATCCTTTGACCATGTACGGCTAGTATATCGAGGGCAGAACTAACAGATTAGACTAGAACATCTCAGCGTGGCTGTGGATAGATGGACTTTTGACTGGGAGCACTCAACATTGGCTCAACAAATCCAAATAATCACAGAAGCACCTCGTATGACATTCTGAAGGATTTACCCATTCAAATATCAATCTTTGGGGAGAGTGCCCAGCAACAAAAGCCTTACAGTGACCACCGCTTGCAAATTCAAAGTGTCATAGTACACTGTTGAGAATAGATGTAGTCTTCGTCAAAGATACGTGTTATGTAAGTACATAGTAGAGAAACCACCACTTCCTCGCTAGAAACAGGCATCGGAAAGATGTTAACTGAGCAGGGTAAACCTTTCCACTTTTCTAAGACTGCCTTCAACAATACGTACATCAAAGAGTGCGTAACAATCAAAGAGTGCGTAACAATCAAAGAGTGCGTAACAATCACACAATTTCCTCGATTTTCGCATCTCTACACAACCAGATCCTGCCGCTTCCTGAACATTACCTTCGCGGTTTGGTTGGGGAGAATTGTCGTTGCCATCCACGTGTTATCTGGGCGCTTGCCTCCGTCCGCGAATTTGACGTCGTAGTAAAGTATAATGGTAGCCAACATAATCTTGAGCTCGTTGACCGCAAAAAATCGCCCGGGACTATAGAGCAGGCAAAGTTAGACATGATGCAACAGGTTTTGGTCTGGGGCCGTAGCATGACTACTCACCAGGCATGCCTTCCGTGTCCAAAACCTATATATTCGGCCGAGGTACTGACATAGTGATGTCTGTTTTTCTCACTTTCTTCTGCTCTCATGTTGGAAAAACGGAACGGGTCGAAGATGTCCGGTTTATCGTAGTTCTCTTCGTCTAGATGCGTAGATGCCGCTGCCGCAGTGACTACGGTACCCATAGGAAGGAGTGTACCATCAGACAACGTAACGTCCGTCAGCGCTATGCGTGTCACAGCAACTGCGTATGGTGTCAGCTAATATTTCTCCACAATACGAAGGAAAATTGCCATACTTCCGCTAACTCCGTTTACTCTAGATGATTCCTTCAAGAAGCTATCGAGCTTCCACATTTTGTTCATGGATACTTTCGTCCATCCGTTTTCTTGCCTGATGACCTCCTCTACTTCCTCGCGTAATGGCTTGATGTACTCCGGATTTGCTGCAAGATGGAACAAGGCATGTGTGAATGTCTGCACCGGAGTACAATGCGTCAGAAAAGGAGCTGTTGCCTTCACCGTACACGCACAATGGTCGAGGTATGGATTGCAGTAAAATTGGAGACCAGCACGCCCTGTACCCACAGATCAATCGGTTCATTCAAACCGACGCGCCTGGCTTCATCGATGATCCACATTAGTAGATCGTTCTATTAGCGCACGAGCGAGCGGCCCATAGTCAGTAGGAACTCCACACGACCCTGTATAATTACTGACGGGTTTATCAGACCAGTCATCTCCATTCTCTTCGCGCTGCCTCAATCGCTCCTCAATTACAGGCCTTAGCAATGGATGCATCCGCCGGATCGCCCTCCGAGACCAGGGCAAGAAAGGCCCAATGAGTCTGGAATTCTATAAGAACACGGACGAGCGCGAAGGTTTGAGCTTTTGATCATGACTTACGGCTTCAAGAAATCAGGGAAGAACGCGAGGACTGTACAACCTTTCATAACCTCAGCAGTGAACGTTGTGGCGAGTTTAAGATACTCCGCATTTCGACCTAAACCACAAAGCATCTAAGTGAGGAAAGTGTGAAATGTGGATTGAACCTTACGCACACAAAGGGACGCCCACAAACACTCGGTTGCTGGCACGAGCTATGACCGCGGCTATGGTATCGTATCCAGGAACACTGACCCATTCTGATAGTGGATGAGTAGCGGTCACGAGATGCTTTATTTACGAAGTCTCACCATCATCCTTCGCTGGTATCAACTCCTGGAATGCCAGTCGGACCTCCTCGGCGACGTCAGGAAACAGTGGAGCCAGATTTTTCGTAAGCTGTTCCTTGATTACTGTGATATGAATCGGATGCACAAGAATGTCAGGAGCAATAGTATATTTCGATTGAATCATCTGAAATTAGGTCAATACCTTCGAGGTGGATCCACTGAATACACGCTCCCTCACCAAATCAATCGCTTCCATGAAGGACATCTGCTCGTCGGGGACCTTACGAAGTTCCTCGTTCATTTTGGCTCCGCTGACTACCACGATCCAACGATCGAACATGGAAACTTTGAAAATCTTGTACTGTTACCCGACATCAATACTTGGCACTTTGTCGACGGCGCAGACACCTACTTTGTCATAACCCTCTTGGAGAACCTCGCGAGCATTATTTAAGAACCTGATCGCCCCCAAATACGACAAGAGCGGGGCGGTAGGCCCTATAGCTGGAATATGGTGCAACTGTCGAAACGGTCAATGATAATCCACATAGTCTACGGACGACATACAGGGTCCGTCTTCTTCCGTATGACAACGAAGCCGACTACGATTGCAAGCAGGGCGCATATCACCTCCGCCGAGCTAGCCATCCTGTCAACGTATAGTGCGGGGGAGTGGTTGATGGGAGACGAGTTAGGCCTAAGTGGGAGACAGAACACAGAAGAAATACTGGCTTCGGCTAACCGTCGCTAGGCTCGTGCCGCACGGCGGGTATGCGGATATCGCGCGACGCGAGAAATAGGAGAGAGCTGAAGGATTCTATCAAACGTTGTGTGACGACGAGCAAATCGCACGAAGTTTTGTCAAGGGGTTCGTAGCAGAAATGGCACCATTGAGGGTCGTGTCGGGGTTCCGGGGTCCAGGTGGTGGAAATGATAGTGCAACCATAACCAATCCACGGCCCACTTACTCGTGGTTTTTCCACCTGAGAAGTCATCTGTCATCCCTGGACCCTGACTGTTACGTACATATAAACGGGGAAACAAATCTTCATCCGACCGTATCACAATTGCAAGGCATATCCGCCCGTATTGCGCACGATACGACACGTTAAGTGTTCTCGAGTAGATATGAGAGCATTCGTGACGAGGATCGACAGTGCGCCCAGAGTATAGTCGAAATGAGGAATCAGCTGCCTGTGTGCGTGTGAATTCAGTCTAGTGTTCATCAGATCGCGGACTTCAAGCCACATCCCGGCGGCCCGTCTTGACCATATAAACACATAAGCAGCGCAGCAATGCTCGGAAACGTCGGGAACGGACCTTGGACAGACATAAGCACTGAGCCATGACCATACGGTCAAGTAAAGTTCAGCCACAGTGGCGGCTACAAGGGGATCTAATCGCGTATTATTGCGATTAGTACACGCCAGTCAGCGTGTATTACTATCGTAATAACACGCGGTCCCGTGACCTGCGGCGCGTCGCGAACCATCTACTTGACTCAAAGATGTTAGATTGAGGTGTCCGATTCGTTGGTGTTTGATGAGCGACAGTAGCAATACCATGCTTGATGGAACTTGGCACTATAATTAGGGAAAGCACTGAGCCAATATAGTAAGTACTTGATAGCGGATAGATTCAGGACTTTGGTCGTGGTACGATATGTCTATGTTGCGAGCTCATAGTAAGGGATCTGAAGTGCCTGGTGAAGAAAACGCATTGGACCCGTCTTCATCTGCACAATCGCCCAGATGAGCGTGACGATGAACAGAGAGCAGAAGATCTGCAGATGCGCTTGAATGAGTATACAAAGGAAAATCTGAAATGTGTGTGGAGGACCAGCCTCAAGGTCGGTGGCTCGGCGACTCCAAGCATAAATGATGAAGCATCAAAAGCTTGACTTCCTGGGTCCCAGACGCATCGATGACACGTCGGGAGTTCTTACGAGACTATCATAGGTCAATATCCCTCCTGAACTCCCGCTGGCTCAGGCGGCTTTGAATGACAGTAAATAGCTCATGTCGTGCATTACGCAAGGCCATAAGGAGCTATGAGACCGAGCCGCAACGTGAAACGTACCAGTGCTGCGACTCCAACTCGAAGCCACACAGACCAACCGCGGGGGACTGTGGAGGCCACTCGCGATCATGTGATGCGCGCGTCGGCGCGTCGCTCCCACGGTTCGAACGACTCGTCTGCCACAGCCCTCGTCCGAATCTTCGTGTTGCCTTACACTCTGGCATCGACATAGTAGCTTGACACCTCACACACTTCGAATCCAGCGCATATATCGACGTAAAGCTACTTTTACAGCTTCAAGGACACGCTATATCCGACAATAAACATCGATTTTAGCGCATACAACTCACACACTGATCAGACGCAAAGCCGGCACTCAAGTTCAATTTTCGCCAAAATGGGACCAGATCTCAGCCTGCGACACATTCCCGATGCCTCCGACGCCTCCCTCTCGTTCAACGCGACCCCCGACTTCTCTGATTCCTCTTTCCAAATACCGCTCGCTGGCTCCTCCAACACCTTTCTCCTCGACGACGACAGCCTTGACTTCCTCCGCAGCGCACCCGACACCACGCTCAGCACGCCCGCTCCACTCCAGCCCCACCGACGCCTGCGCTCACGGTCCCGTTCACCTACGAAACATTCTCCAAGCAAAAGAGTTCATAATACGGGCCTGACGCTTACCGAACTCACCCCCCGCGCACCCACGTACGTCAATGCCCGCACCCCACGCTCCGCGGCCGTGCGATCATCCCTCCGCCCGCACCTCCGCATGGACGCGCGCGCCGAGGTGGCCACGCCGCGCCGCGCCGCAATTGCGGCAGACATAAGCACCGCGCTCACCGACACGCTCTCCCCATTCGCCGCGGGCGGCGGCGGGGAGCCGTCTTTTCAGATCCCCACTTCCACGCTCGGCGGGGGAGGTTTCCTGCTGCACGACGACGACGCTGACGATATGTTTCGCGAGTTGGAGGAGACGCTGAGCGCCAGACATCATGTCGCTGGCGCCGGCGATGACTCAGACGGTGCGCTTGGTTGCTTGAAGGAGCAAGGGCAGGAACCCGCTGCAAGCCCCAGTTCGCGGTCAAGCCGGCTGCCATCGCCGACGCGGTCGGGAAATGTGGAGCAAAATTTGCTGAGGGAGGACACGCAGGGACGGCAGGATGCCGATGATCAAGCAGAATTGAGCGAATGTGACGCAGGTGAGTGATTTTGCTAGGCTCGTTGCGACGCAAGGGAAACTAGAAGCTCAAACATTCCTTCGCTGTATGTGTCCGTAGTTGACTCGGGCAATGTAATTCCGTGCGGACAGGGAGACCCTGGCAACCCTGAGGATGACACAAGTCTCGCAGCGGAGCCCGGCTCCAACGTGGCCCATCAGACGAATGTGCAGACGGTGCGAGGAGTGGCGTGCCGCACAGGGAGGACGACGTCGAGGGGACTGAGTGCGAAGACGCTCTCGACGCGGAGAAAGCCCGTACGTTCGGCGATTACCTCATTACGGCTCTGATCGAATGGCAATGATTCTGGCTGATCTTCATCGCGCAGGTCGTCATAGGCGGGGGTATCTCGAAGCCGGGTAAGGCTAGATTGCGCCCCGTAGTCGCACGGGCGGTGCTGGACAGCAGCAGCGCGAAGCGCGGGGGTGGCACCTTGCAGGGTGGGCCCCGGAGATTAGGAATTGCGGACAGCATGCGGCTGACGAAGGCTCGGCTCGGCTCGACGAAGGCCAAGGAGCCTGACAGAGCTGAGCCGGGGCCAGGAGCGCTGGTCAGCGCGCTGCTGTCATATGGACATCAGATAGACCAGGGCCGTGCAAGGTGCGCTGACTGCTCGTATTTTCGAGGGTGCATGGACTAACTGGCTGTGCGTTCCCTCTCGGCCGACCTGGTGTGACGCAGTTTGGGCCCGACAGACCCAGAGACGAACCGGGCTGATGCCGGCCATCCACCGAACGGATCTACGCCGGGAACGGACGGCGAAGCAGAGCCAGGGGTTGGGGACATGTCTGCGGGGGAGGAGGGTGAATTAGATCGCGATTCGCCGCTCACGGTCTCGCAGCTGTCGCCCACGAAAAGGGGAGAAGGCAGGACGCCCACAGAGAGAGTCAGTTTGGGGGGCACGCGACCAGCCTCGCCCGGGCGGTCGTCTGTGAAGCGGACGCGGTCACCTGCACCCGACTCGTGCCCCGAGAACGCGCACAAGCGGAGCAGGACTGCCCCGCCGGCGCCGGCGTCGGCGTTGGCGTTGGGCACGCTGGTGGACAAGGCGGCGGCGCGGCCCAGAAGAGGGCTAGCGGCGGCTTTTAGGCGGCAGCGGAGTGCGGATCTGGGGAGGAAGGTGGGCGAAGGGGGCGCTTCGAATTGTCGATCGAGTGGGGAGCAGGGCAGCAGCAGCAGCGAGCCCCCACCGCACCTGACGCACACGCGGCCGCCCCCTGCCGACAAGGAGAACGACCCCCACCAGAAGCCCATGTCCCGCCCGGCCGACCCGCCTGGGTTTGGGAAACAGGTCAGTCGCCCCCCTCTCGTCCCCCCGCGTCACACAGTGGCACGCCCGCCTGGTGGTCATTTCCGACGGTGCGGCGTGCTAGTTCCGCGACATCTGTCCATTGATCGATATGTTCATTTCACTCACTGCGTCTGCGTTCCAGCCCCCTGCGCTTCCTCCCGCGAAGCCAACCAGGCCGATCGAGTTCCACTTCCTCTCCGACGCACGGGCAGAGGCGCGCCGGGCCGAGCGCGACCTCGCCACGTCGGGCGGCAGCTCGAGCACCAGCGCGAGCACCAGCGCGGTGGCGCATGGGCACGCCTCGGTGTCGATTCCGGACTTCAAGGCGATGCACGCGGCGCAGGAGTCGGCGCTGCAGGCGCGGCGGGGGCAGATCGTGCCGGTGACGGCGGTGGACTTTGAGCTGGCGACGGACGCGCGGGCGCGGGAGCGGGAGGAGTACGACCGGGCGCGGCGGGCGCGGGAGGAGGAGCTGGCGCGGCAGATGGAGGAGCGGCGGCGGCTGCAGGCAGTCGAGGAGGAGCGCGAGGTGCGAGAGTTGCGACGGCGGGCGGTGCCGCGGGCGCACGAGGTGCCGGAGTGGTATGCCCGTGCGCCGAAGCGGGCAGCGAAGACGAGGCCGTGAGGGCACGTAAGTGCGGGCAGCGTGGGCAGGGGGAGGGGGGGAGGGCTGCGGAGCGGTGGAGCTGGGCAGGGACGGAAGGGAAGCGCGGGGCAATCGAGGGTGACGAGCGGTGAAGTAGAAGGTGTGCGCTGCGCGGGGGCGCCGAGTCTGTTTGTACGTTATCTGTGACTGCATGAGAGAGTGTTCTTGCTGCGATGAGTCTATTCCCCTCTTTTCCTTCCTGTCTCGTGCGGCCAGATGACCTGAGAGTCCGATCGAGTCGTGGTCCCGAGGGTGCATGCGTGCAGTTCATCTCGCCAACATTCTCTCAGCTGAGTCGGGCTCGGGTGCGTGACTTGTGCGACGCCGCCTGGCTGCGTCGAGCAGCGTCCCGGACGCTGAGCGCATGCGTGCGCATGATGGCACCGTCGGTGGGACGCCGGTGCGCGATGATGCGCTTTTCCGGGTTTTCGCCTTCCAGGTCAGGCGGGCGGGCTCTGTCGTCGTACATTCCGGATCCGGCTGCGATCCACGCCTGCTCGTGCCGACGAGTCTATGTATACATGCGATTGCATGGATGACCACGGTTCCTCGCGCTTCGCCGCGAATTCCGAGTGGCCCGCGTTCGCTGCGACTTGTCAGCGCGGCGTCCGCCTGCCCCCACGTGTGCGGGCCAGCTGAGCGCAGAAGCAGCAGCCAGGTGCAGAGCGATCGGCCGCGCGCGCGCGCGTTCCCTTCAGTTCCTCTCCTCGTGCTGGTGCTGGTGCCACGGGTCGGCTGACTTGGCGGAGTGGGAGTGGGCGAGCGCGCTCCGGACGGCACAAGGCGCGATCGCAGGAATGTATCATACGGGAGGACAGGGCGTAGGGGGGGAGGCGCGGTGGGCGCACGCCCGGACGACGCGCGACCTCTGCCGCCGTGCACGGCGTTCGGTGTTACGATGCGGTTGGTGCTCTTGCCCGTTCGCAGATGCCACTACTACTACGCGGCCGGTGGGAGCTGGGACGCGGTGTGATCGAAGGACGGTGGGAGCGCGCGCACGCCTCGACGCGAGGAAGGCCGGAAGCCAGGGCACCAGAACAGGATCAGGATCAGGAGCAGATCCAGGAGCAGACGCAGACGCAGACGCAGACGCAGAGCCGGTGCAGGACGCGACAGCGCAGCGGGCGATGGTACCGATAAGCACCGCGCAGAGATCGCGGGGCACGCCAGCCGTGCGCGTTCCGCAGTGCCAGACGATAGTGCGCCTCGAGGACGACGCGTGCGGGACGCAGCTGGAGCGGGGGGTTCTGCCGGCGCTGATGCCGTGGGCGGTGGGAACGGGCGACGGGGCGCGTGTCCGGCTGGGCAGCCCCGGGCCTCTGATAGGACGGCCGCGACGCTGCTAGAAGACGAAGACGAAGACGAAGGCGAGGGCGAGCGGGGGCGTGCGTGCGTGCGTGGGGCGTCATCGTCGCACGGTATGTCCGTGAACCCCGAGCGCCTGCAGCAGCCTCTCCCCGCTCGCTCGCAGCAAGTACGTGCTGCACCGTCAGCCAGGAACACGCTCGGCGCAGATGTGGGGGCTGCGATCCGGCGAGGAGAAGGCGGGCCGCCACCCCCGGATCGGCTCGACGACCCTGCCTCCGGGCCTGGTGGGCGTGCACGCCGGCAATCCCGCCCCCGTCCCCGCCCCCCGCCTTTGCGCGCGGGCAAGGGGACTCGGAGACACCCTCCCAGGGCGCAACCCCAGGAACACATACGCACACAAGACTAGCACACCCTTGCAGCATCCCTTCTCTGCCCTGCCCAGCACGCGCAGCGCAGCCTAGCCGCATCGGGCAACGCATCCTGCTCGCCCGTCCGTCCACCCGTGCGCCTGCCTGGCCGTCCGCCGCCGGCCCCGGCGAGTGCGGAGCCGCGCGGGGCGACGGCGAGGGCGTCCCCTGCACCGCGCACATCACACACCACGCCTCTCTCTCGCCTCAGGTCTCGAGGCTTCGCGCAGCGAGCACACCCCCTGACCGCGCCGCGCGCGAGATGGGATCCCGGCGCGGGGAAGAGGATGGATGGACAGGTGTGATGGACGCGAGGGGACGGGTGATCCGCGCGGTGCTTCTGGCGCGGGCGCGGCGGGCGCGTCTGGCAGATGGGCTCTGCGGGGCCAACCAGGAGCAGCGGCGGCGGCGGCGGCAGCAGCGCGGATTGGCCAGGGGGGTGCAGCGACTGGGGCCAGATTCTTGGTTGGACGGGGTGCGAGCGCGCGCGTCGGTTGGTGTGCGCGGCTGGGGTGGTTCCATGCGTCGTGCACGCCAGACGAGCGGGCGGGCGGACGAGCCCCCCGAGGCGCAGGTACAGTACGTGCACGGACGTAAGGAGCGGGTAGCGCGGCGCCGCGGGGCTGCTGGTGTGTCCCAGTCCGCAGGTGTGGGTCCAGCGCGCGCGTGCGCAACGAGGACGCGGATGTTGAGGGGGGACAGATGCACGTGTGATGGGACTAGCAGCGGGCTGAGACGGCGATGGGTTGTGGGTCCAGGCTGGATGAGATGGCGGGGAGGCAGGCGGCGCGGGGGTGCGTTCAGCCCAGGCCAGTTCGATCCGGATCTGGAGGGACGCGCAGGGACGCAGAGAAGACGAGGACGAGCCATCCCTCAGCTCCCGCTCGGCGCGGACACGTCGCCGCGCCCTCCTGCACGCCACTCCACTCCCTCTCTAGACCCAGGCCCTGCGCACGCCGCAATTGCAGCTCTATGCCCGCTGTCTCCCTACCTCCCAATCACACTGACACTCACGGCACACGCTGATGCACTCCATTGGCCACGTCCACGACAGCCCACTCCCGTAATCGACGCGCACACAGACGCTGCCTCCTCTTTCTTGAGTGAGTCGCCTCCCAGTCCTGGTCGCTGCCTCCCCGCGTCTGGACTCTGGGCCAGGGGCGCGACTCGCACACGAGCGAGCGAGCCACGGCTGTACGTAGTACGTCCACGCGCGCCTGTCTCCATCTCCGTCTCCGCGCGCACGGACACTCGCAGCTGGGGCTTCTTCGCCCGCGTCCAGGGCCGACCGAGGCGCGTCAGCCGCTGGCCACGGCAACCCAGTACGTGCGCCGCGCTGCAGCACGCATACCCGGGCCTGGCGGTGCACCAGCACCAGCACTAGCACCAGCACCGTCCGCCGCCGCCGCCGCCGCACCCGCGCCCGGGCCTGGCCCGTGCAGAGAGGTGCCGGCGAGAGAGCTCGAGAGCCCGCGAGCCCATCCGCCGGGGCGCACCGCACGCCGCAGCGCAGAACCCAGTGCGATATAGACACACAGGCGCACGCGCAATACGCAATGCGCACCACCCGCACGACGAGCTGGGCCGCCCCAGGGCGGCCGTGCCCAGGCGAGACGCAGCGTGCGCGCGGGGAGGGCTTCCGGGGTTGAGGTGCGCCGGCTCGCGGGCGCCGCGCCCGAGGTCGAACAGCACGCACGGGGCGCGCGTCGTGGGCGTCGCGGTGGGCTCTGTGGACACCGGGGTGTGTGATGGTGGTGCTCGGGGTGCGGCAGAGGACTTGGGGGATGGGCTTGCGGGGGGGGCGACGCGGCTCGGGGCACATCGCGCTGGCGGTGCAAGTGCAGCAGGGCGTGCTGCTCCGAGGCGCGCCGTGGGCTGGGGGGGCGGCGGCGGCGGCGGCGGGCGGCC